TTTTTTTTAAATTTTTAAGTTTTTTGGTTAAAACGATATTTATTTTTTCCCTTTTTCCAAAAAAAATTTAAACTAAATGATCCAGGATTGAAAAGAAAGCTTAAAGCTTATATGTAACTCTCTCCTGTACCGGTACTTACTAGTTTGATACCTAAGTGTCTCACATGACAATAAAGATCATTATTTTGTGTTCTCTTTTTATCAGTTAAAATAAAGATTTCTTGACTTTTGTCAGACCACTTGTATACTAACATTTCCCAATATTGACGTCCATATTCAGACTCAGACAAATCAAGCGTTCGCAATGTAAACAGTTGCAGGCAGATCAGATTTTACTACTTTATTAACTGATACAAAAATTTCAATAGCAAACTATCATTTAGTCTAAACAGATAATTAACAATGAAAGTGAATAAAATTATTGTGATTTTAAATTTTATAGGTATTGAACCAGAACCATTTATGTTAGGAGAGCACCTTGTAGAAGCAAGTGGTAAATTGGTCGTTATAGACAAACTGTTGAAGTATTTACACAATACTGGACACAAAGTACTGATGTTTTCACAGATGACGCACATGTTGGACGTGTTACAAGATTACCTTGGATACAGAGGTTATTTATTTTACTTATTTACAGTCATGAAAATTATGTTTAAAATTCACAAGCAAGATAGCCTAGTAATGAGCAATTTTCACTGTAAATTTGGTATTTTTAGCAATTTAAACCCTTAACCAGCTAAAATAAAAACTGATTAGTCTTTGCCACCACTATAGAGCTAGGTAAGCCTGCTTGTCCATACAGTATGAACAGGTTCTATACGGTTTATTGACTAACTTTAAATATTCATCTTAATCTCCCCTTACTTGATAATGGACAGTTCCAAAAATGAAAGCTGGACAAGTTCATTTTAGAAATTTAGCTGGTCAAGAGAAGATTCACTATTGTTGTGTTGTCTGGCTAGTGCTAATTTAAACCACTAATCAATCTTATATTTGCTCTTAAGACAAGTGTTCTATATTTTGAAAAAACTGATTACTGCTGGAAAAAAACTTTCTGTGCCAAAATGTTTTAATGTGTAAAAAAATAATGTATATACATGTATATTTATCTAAGGTTCACAGAAAATCATTGACATTTATCATAAATGAATTCTTTTGATATAGTGGTTAAGGTTACTGCTGGCTTAAAATTACTTACTCCTTATAGCTGTGGGTTCAAGCTTAAATTATTTGTTTGCTGAACTTTTCCAGCTTCATTATAGAAGGTCTTTTGTTCTTCTCTATTTATGCCTGATATATTGCATGGGGGATATTGTTTGTTGTTCCTCCCCTAATGTATCTGGAAAGTGGCCATATTTGATATTTTAGATTGTATTGTCAATAATACAGGTTATACATATGAGCGTCTGGATGGGTCAGTGAGAGGAGAGGAACGTTTCTTGGCTGTACAAAACTTTAACTCTAACGATGAAACTTTTGTCTTTCTCCTGAGCACAAGAGCTGGTAAGTTATAACTGGAATCATTCTACTCTGTTTACTTTAATTATACATCATTGTAGATTCCTCTCAAAGAGCATGGTGCATGAGTGGAAGAAACTAATTTTATAAAAACGATATTACACTTTGATGTGAAATCATTTGTGTATATACAATTTTAACACTTGGAATTTTTTCTATAGAAACAAAGAAGGCCGGAAGCATGCATTATTCTACAACAATGCACTTGCTGTTCTTATTACCTCCCTGTGTATTTTTAAACCAACACATTGACGGTGCCATTTTGTTTGAAAAATCTGATAAGTAAAAAACATTTTTTTGTCGAATTTTGTTGTGAAAACTATCTAGAATAAAAGAAAAAGGTCTAACTAAGAAAATGAATCCGAACACAAATATCTTTAACTCAGTTTTTAACGTTGTACAGACGTTTAAAGTGTTGTTTACGTGACATCACAATGTAGCGCCAAACAGCAGATGCAAAAAACAATCAAATCAAGAACGCTATTTCAATGTCGAAAACGAGTTTTCAATTTCACACTATAGTCTTTATTTCTATGCCAACTGACACCATTATACATATTTAAGGTGGACAGGGTATAAATTTGACCAGTGCTGATACTGTGATATTTGTGGACAGTGATTTTAACCCACAGAATGACCTGCAAGCTGCTGCCAGGGCACATAGGATAGGACAGTCAAGGTCAGTATTATAATTATGGATAGGAGTCAAGGTCAGTATTGTAATTATGGATAGGAGTCAAGGTCAGTATTGTAATTATGGATAGGAGTCAAGGTCAGTATTGTAATTATGGATAGGAGTCAAGGTCAGTATTGTAATTATGGATAGGAGTCAAGGTCAGTATTGTAATTATGGATAGGAGTCAAGGTCAGTATTGTAATTATGGATAGGAGTCAAGGTCAGTATTGTAATTATGGATAGGAGTCAAGGTCAGTATTGTAATTATGGATAGGAGTCAAGGTCAGTATTGTAATTATGGATAGGAGTCAAGGTCAGTATTGTAATTATGGATAGGAGTCAAGGTCAGTATTGTAATTATGGATAGGAGTCAAGGTCAGTATTGTAATTAGGGATAGGAGTCAAGGTCAGTATTGTAATTATGGATAGGAGTCAAGGTCAGTATATGTAATTATGGATAGGAGTCAAGGTCAGTATTGTAATTAGGGATAGGAGTCAAGGTCAGTATTGTAATTATGGATAGGAGTCAAGGTCAGTATTGTAATTAGGGATAGGAGTCAAGGTCAGTATTGTAATTATGGATAGAGGAGTCAAGGTCAGTATTGTAATTATGGGATAGGAGTCAAGGTCAGTATTGTAATTATGGATAGGAGTCAAGGTCAGTATTGTAATTAATGGATAGGAGTCAAGGTCAGTATTGTAATTATGGATAGGAGTCAAGGTCAGTATTGTAATCATGGATAGGGGTCAAGGTCAGTATTGTAATTATGGATAGGAGTCAAGGTCAGTATTGTAATTATGGATAGGAGTCAAGGTCAGTATTGTAATTATGGATAGGAGTCAAGGTCAGTATTGTAATTATGGATAGGAGTCAAGGTCAGTATTGTAATTAATGGATAGGAGTCAAGGTCAGTATTGTAATTAGGGATAGGAGTCAAGGTCAGTATTGTAATTATGGATAGGAGTCAAGGTCAGTATTGTAATTATGGATAGGAGTCAAGGTCAGTATTGTAATAAGGGATAGGAGTCAAGGTCAGTATTGTAATTATGGATAGGAGTCAAGGTCAGTATTGTAATAAGGGATAGGAGTCAATGTCAGTATTGTAATTATGGATAGGAGTCAAGGTCAGTATTGTAATTATGGATAGGAGTCAAGGTCAGTATTGTAATTATGGATAGGAGTCAAGGTCAGTATTGTTATCATGGATAGGAGTCAAGGTCAGTATTGTAATTATGGATAGGAGTCAAGGTCAGTATTGTAATTATGGATAGGAGTCAAGGTCAGTATTGTAATTAGGGATAGGAGTCAAGGTCAGTATTATAATTATGGATAGGAGTCAAGGTCAGTATTGTAATTATGGATAGGAGTCAAGGTCAGTATTGTAATAAGGGATAGGAGTCAAGGTCAGTATTGTAATTATGGATAGGAGTCAAGGTCAGTATTGTAATAAGGGATAGGAGTCAATGTCAGTATTGTAATTATGGATAGGAGTCAAGGTCAGTATTGTAATTATGGATAGGAGTCAAGGTCAGTATTGTAATTATGGATAGAAGTCAAGGTCAGTATTGTAATTATGGATAGAATCATAATTACCGGTATACTGAAATAAGTATTCAGTTTGTCATACATGTATTTAAATTCTTTGAATGTTAATTTTTTTTTTTTAGTCACCTACCGGTTTAACCGGAGGGGACTTTAGGTTTACCCTCCGTCCGTCCGTCTGTCCGTCCGTCTGTCTGTCTGTCTGTCCGTCTGTCTGTCTGTCTGTCAGTCCGTCAGTCAGTCCGTCCGTCCACAAAACTGGATCCCGCGATAACGCAAAAAGTACTAAAAATGTTTTTATGAAACTTGATATATGGATAGATGGCAATATAAAGCTAATGCACGTCTTTTTCTTTTGTTCCTATGTTGAAAATTCTGGTTGCTATGGCAACAAATAGTCTGAAAATATGGCAAATTTAACACATAAACTGGATCCAGTGATAACTCAAAAATGACAGAAAATATTTTTATGAAACTTGAAATATGGGTAGATGGCAGTCTGGAGATTATGCACATCTTTTTCTTTTCTTCCTATGTTGAAAATTCTGGTTGCTATGGCAACAAATAGCCTGAATTTCAAGATTTCTGATTTAAATTTTCCAGCTTTTTCACTAGAAGTTCTTTATTTCTTAAGGTGTTTACTTCAAACTTTAAATATAAGTTTCTGGTCATCAACCACATCATATGTAACAAGGTTTACAACTCTAGCACAAAAATTATCAGTATTATCTCCCTTGAACTTCGAATTTTTTTTAAAAAATGTTGTCTTTTTTAAATAACTTCTTTATTTCCTAATATATCTACTTCAGACTTCATATATTTATCAAATAAAACATGGCCTTGAGAGCAATATGCAAGTTTACGGACTGATTGGTCAGACTGAGGAAGATATATGGCCCGAAGCGCAGCTGAGGGACATATACCTTTCGAGGTCTGACCAACCAGTCCGTAAACTTGCATTTTGCCCGAAAGGCCATGTTTTATTTGTTATATTATACCGAATCTAAGTCCTTTCGTCCCTTTTGTTGCTGTCATTTTTAATATAATTTGCTGTCAAATAATAATTTATTTGTTCAGTGTGTGAAATATCTCAAACCCTAGTCTGATTTTTTGTTTTTATTGTCAAGCGATACAGCAAAAAAATCATGCTCTTCTTTTGTCATTCAATTTTTGTTAATCACATTAAACAGGGAAAAAAACGAACTTTAAGATTTTCACAACTGTATAAATAAAATAAAAAATTTATAATCAATTTAAAGACATAAAATTATCATGACTTTTGATCAACATGTAATAAATTTATGTGAAACAAAACAATAAATCATTTAACAACAAAATAAAATATTAGATCTCATTTGCATACGCCCTTCAATATTTAGTATGACGTCATCCAGTCCATATAAGAATTATGGACCGCCCCCGGTCTGTATGCGGTTTATGGACCGGATGACGTCATATTAAATATAGAAGGGCGTATGCAAATGAGGTATAATATATGTTTCTTATTATCACTCAACATTTTTGAGAAGGTTAAATACTCTAGCAAGACTATTTCCAGAATTATGTCCCCCTTGAACTTAGATTTTTTTCGAGAAATTGGTATTTTTTACTCCAACTTCTTCATTCCTGATAGGATTTACTTTAAAATCCCATATCGTAATAATATGACAAGGTTTTTACGTATAAACATAATTTCCTTACTAGGCAGGGAAACTTAACACATTACTGTGATATAGACAAACTTAGAACTCAAAAGATTTAAGTTCATTCATGTCATTCATTCACTGGTAAAGTTGAATGGCCAATGGCCCATCAGAATGTTGCTGGGGTTCTAACCGGTAGGGGACTTATGGATTGCTTGCAATACTATGATAATTGCTTGTTTGAAAATGTTATAAAAGTGATCTAAACTTTGTTATCCAAATACTGGTACAGTTTTATTTAACAATACAGTGTTTTAGAAACCACTAAATTGGTATTAACATCATATGGCTTTGAAAGGGTCCATCCATCCTTTCAGTGACTCAGAGTACAGTTCTTGGAAATGTCACCAATCATGTCCTTAAATAGTATTAAATTGCCAGATGGTGACCTATTAATCTTTAATCCAGTGATTCACTGAATGTGACAAAATATATGATATTTTTTCCAGCCTTTAGTGAAAGTTTTTGTATCAGTAGTATTCCATGAGTTATATGATATTTATTTGTATTTGGTATTAAACATTGGTTGAAATGTTGAGAATAGTAACATGTACATGTATGTGATTTATCAATAAACTTTTAGCCTCCTGCTTTCATCAGATTCTGCCAATGTGACCAGTGCTGACTAAGATTAACTGGCACATCTGTTCCATCTGATCCTGGTCTGCACCTTTAACTTTTCAGTTAGTACTTATTTTGAAAAAAGTACTGTACATGTTTATACAGGATATTTGTTTGTTTTTCATGTTAACAAAGATCGAAATATATTTCACTGAGTGAACACCAGATGCAATATTTTCACAAGTGACACAGCCATTTTATTTATGACATTTGACGTTCATCCACATTCAAATATAGTCTTGCATATTTTAAAAAATGATATTTTGATAATTTCACTATCTACAGAAAAGTATTGGAAAAACATACATATAATTTGAACTTAATTACAGACCAGTAAAGGTGATCAGATTGGTCAGTAAGAATACAGTGGAAGAGATTATACTGAAGAGAGCAGAAGAGAAGCTAGAATTAACTAGTACAGTAATAAAAGAAGGAGAATTCTCACTGGGAGCTTCTAAACAAAGCCTCTTTACTGATGATAAAATTAAGGTACAATATAGCATTTCAGTTTGTGTAGCTGACTCTTTGTAAACTTGCTCATAATGATATCCATTTTAATAGCAGCTTGTGTGATTTTAGCTTGCAGCCATTTATACTGGGCCATAGATAACATGAGGAAAATCATTATGTGTAATAGAATATGAAGCTAGAAAGCTAGAATTAAGTCACAAAATGTAATTCAACATCACTTCAAATAACAATAAGTTATCTAGCAATAATAATTTCAACTTTATTTAGGAAAGTATGTTAATGATATCATTTTTATACCATCATAAAGCTTAAAGTTACATACAATCTTATGCGACTTTGTAAAAATTGTATTGCATGGCCGTGCATATATTTTGATGCGAACGTCATTTGGGTGATATAAATATAGCATTAATGTTAGCCTTTTACAATAGCAGCATCAATGAAAATGGTTCTTTTTCACTTCAAACGGTCTTTATTTTTGGAATGTGATACATAGAATATTAAATTTGTTTAAGTTTATTACTGAATGTATTGAGGCTCGCATAATATAATTCTATTCAGCTCATTCAATAAATTCAGTGTTAAACTTACACTCATTCATTATCCTCTATATATTTATTTGGACGATTCTGTTTTTTTATATTTTCCAGTAACATTTTATTTCAGCTTCAGGATATACTAAAATATGGTGTTGATGAATTATTAAGTGGTAACCATGGAGATGATGTTGACCTTGATTTCAAGGCTATTCTTGGACCTACAGCAGATGGTGAATGGCAGCCTGAGGAAACAAAAGTGGATGAAGAAGCTAATGGATCTGAGGTGAGTGTTAATCCATTATGATTGGTTGTTTTGCTAGTAAGCCAGGTTTTGGCAAGAAAAAATGGTTGTTAAATTGATGTAATCAGTATGGACAAGCTGGCATAAACAATATCTTTTGTTCACAACTTCTACATTTTTCATAGGATTACAACCAAACATTTACAGAATTATTTCACAAATTGTTCTGGCACATATTGGCTGAGTTTTGTGATTTGAGCATTATTGGCAGATTTATGCCCCATTTGGGGAGGGGGGAGGGGAGTAGTGCATCTGTTGTATTGACAGAAAACCCTGTTTATGTCACTCTGTCATGTCCATTGTTCATTATTTCATAAATATTTTAGGAAAATGTTGTAACTTTTGAAAAGGTGAACAAAGTGTTTGTTATTATTGCAAGGATGAAGGTATTTTAGAGGATGCACCACAGACTATGTACATGTTTGAGGGAACTGACTACTCCAAGGAGCCTACTGCAGCTGATAAAAAAGCCTTTGATGAACTGCTTGAAGGTATTGCCTATATGTTTAAACATTCAAATGATAATGTCCTATATGTTTTAAACATTTAAATGATAATGTATTTAGTGGATTTGACGGCTGTAATAGGTATCAGTGCGTGACTATTTTAGGCATGGGGTTTTAAGTCACATTGATGGGTAATTCAATTATTTTAGGCATGGGGTTTTAAGACGCATTGATGGGTATTTTAGTTACTTTAGGCATGGGGATTTAAGTTAATGGGTAAATTGACTATTTTAGGCATGGGGTTTTAAGATGGGTAATTGGACTTTTTAGGCATGGGGTTTTAAGTCATATTGATAGGGAATTTGATTATTTTAGGCATAGGGTTTTAAGACATTTTGATGGGTAATTTGATTAATTTAAGCATGGGGTTTTAAGACACTTTGATGGGTAATTTAATGATTTTAGGCATGGGGATTTAAGTCACATTGATGGATTCATACAGCATTATTATTTTACGCTTGGATTCATACAGCATTATTATTTTACGTTTGGATTCATACAGCATTATTATTTTACGCTTTACCTTGTGTGGAAAGATCCACTGATAACCTTGCTAATATGCATTTATATTATTTGGCCAAGTGACTAACTACCCAAGTAACTTCACAGGAAAAAAAGTTTTCATAAATATAACATGTATTGGCACTAACATCAGTGAGGATGAAATTCAAGTAAATCACTATAATAAATGGATGTACATGTAAGTTGCTACATCTCTTATTAATGTAAAGGTTATAAATTCAGTATAATTGTTTATATTTACCAGCTGAGAGAGCAGTATTGTCAGAGAAGCTGGCAGAAGATAGACCAAGTCGTTTAAAGCGTCAACCTCTGTCTGTATTCATGCCAGGTCTACCAGATGTTCTGAGAAAACCCAGAAAGAAATTGACACCAGAAGAATTAGCTGAGAGGAAGAAAAAGGTTGTACAATGATATTTTTTCTACTTAATGTTCAACCATGCCCTGTAATTCTGCCATTAGTATAAAAGTTGTTATTCCTTTGAGCTTTACCAAGGAGGCTGACCTAAAAATTCTTTATAAATATAAGTACACTTTTATCAAAAGCATGGGTTTTCCCATAATATTTGATAGTTTTCATTCCTGAAATACTGTATTTTGTATATTTTTACTTTTATTTATAAAGATAAAGATAAGTAATAGTGGGTTAATGCACCTTTTTCTGTGTATTAACATCAGTACAAGTAGGACCAGCCTTTTATAAAAGTCTGAGGGCTTCTACAGATGTTCATCCACTTTGGTTATGCTTTTACATGCTCTTGCATTTGACAGTTATATTTTTTTGATAATGAAATTACCTGGACCATAGAAAAACACATGCAACATTTGTGCTTGCTCACATGATTCTATCTGTTAATGCATGTTTTCTTTTCAGTTAAAATATATATACATGCACATTTTTTTGCAAGAATAGCTAATAATGTAATTTATCATACATTTATAATGGGTTTAATTATCTGACAATGTCTTTTGAAAATTCATGAGTACTTTATATAATGATTTCTCATTTGGTTTCAATGCATGATATATGTGTATAGTATGTTCTCTGACATAGCAGTATACAATACTTTTACATGAAACTGAAATGGTCACTCATACCTAAGGGGCGTCCGTGGCCGAGTGGTTAAGGTCGTTGACTTCAAAGCTGGAATGTCGCGATATGACCTATACTGTGTCGATGTGACGTAAAACCCAAAACAAACAAACAAACAAAACACTCATACCTACATTCAGTTCATACAACAAGATTGTTGATATTTACTAAGAATGATACATTATTACAGCGTGAAGAAGCTGCAGCAAAGAGAGCTAAAGAGGCAGAGGAAAGAGAAATGAGGCGGGCACAAGAGCAAAGAAAAAGGAGGTACATTATATATGTATTACTGTAAAGTTGATTCATTTTCTCCCATCAGATTTTCACGGTTATCATAGCATATTTATGTCTATGGACACTCCCAATATATTCAAATTTCAACTAAGTTGTACATTTGTTTAACATTCAGTGTCTTTCTTTTATAAAATATTAAGTGTGCAAAATTTTTGCATTTTTTCAGAAACAAAACAATTGATCTTTTATGAAACTGACATTAATTCTTGTTATTGCTGAACATAATGAAGTAAATAAAAATGTACAAAAGGATTTTTATATGGGGAATCAAAGGCTTCACGCGAAGGTCCCGGGATTGGGTTTGCCTGACTATAAACTACACATGTATATTTAAAAAAAAAAAATAACAAACTATTAAAGAATATAAAGATTTTTATACCTATCAATGAAATTTTCAGTGTCAGTTCTAGTCTGGCACCACCATTTTTTGATAATGAACAATCGCAACTTTTCGGATTAATAACAGTCGTGGAGTATTCTGAGGGAAAACAGAAGTGGTGCTTAAAATACTGAATGACACCTTTAAAACTGAAAAATAAACTATTTTTTAAACAACTTCCCCGTTCATAGGCTTTGCCTAATTTCATATAATCTTTATTATAGAGAGGAACTGTGGAAGAAGAATGATTACAAGTCATGTAACGTGGAGATTGACGAGACCTCAGATGATGATGAAGGAATGCTAGATGATGATGATATATCAGGGGATGTAACTCCACATGATATAAAATATGTACTAGGGGATGTAACTCATCCAAAGAAAACTGATAGAGAAAACAATATTATTGTCCATTGTGCAGGTTTGTTGATGAGTAATGATGCCAGGAGTTTTTTCATTGATTGCAGTCATTGTTTAATGATTGGCCTAGATCTTTTCCGAATTAGAGGAAAATGTAATATGAATATATTGTGTGACTCCTCTAGTGTACCGATTAAATTTACAATTAAAACACTATATTTGACCGAAAAACTATTAAAAATGTTTGCTTACATGTTAAGACATTGTTGTAAAAAAGGTTTGCTTACATGTTAAGACATTGTTGTAAAAAAGGTTTGCTTACATGTTAAGACATTGTTGTAAAAAAGGTTTGCTTACATGTTAAGACATTGTTGTAAAAAAGGTTTGCTTACATGTTAAGACATTGTTGTAAAAAAGGTTTGCTTACATGTTAAGACATTGTTGTAAAAAAATGTTTGCTTACATATTAAGACATTGTTGTAAAAAAATGTTTGTTTACATGTCAGTATATTGTTATAGATGATTCTGGAAACTGGGGTACCGGAGGTTTATTCTCGGCACTATCTGCCCGATCATCTAGACCAGAGGATCAATATACACTAGCTGGTAAAATGCAGGGTAAGTTTTATATGAAATAGGGAAGTTGTTACTCAGTGAATTCAATGAAACAGGGAAGTTGTTACTCAGTGAATTCAATGAAATAGGGAAGTTGTTACTCAGTGAATTCAATGAAATAGGGAATTTGTTACTCAGTGAATTCAATGAAACAGGGAAGTTGTTACTCAGTGAATTCAATGAAACAGGGAAGTTGTTACTCAGTGAATTCAATGAAATAGGGAAGTTGTTACTCAGTGAATACAATAGTAGCTGTTCAGCTCTGATAAAGTATAAATTGGTAAATTGTCAACATTTAAAGTTTTTTGATTGAATGTGTGAAGTTGGTGTTTTTTTAGTAAAAAAGATGTTTTTTATAGTCTTAGTAGCATCCTCCTTATTTAATTCATTCAGTAATACATGTAGTATGTCAGCAGGTATATTAAACACTGATGTAGTACTCATGTATTTGGTTTGGTGTCTAAATGAAATTGAATCCATGTTTTTAACATAACATTAAGATATATTGACATAATATATTAGTTTCATGAAGGATATCTTGTGTGTAGAAAAATTGCATATATTTTGACAAATAAAGAAAAGACAGGCATACAGAGTAATCTCCCTTGATAGTTTTTTCATAAAAATGTCTGATATACATGTATATATATATTGTAACAGATTTAGCTCTTGGAGATTGTCATATGGTACCTTTTGATGCTGGTTCCAGCAGTAAAGACGGCAAAGATTGGGTATATATACTCTGTTATGTCTATTTCATGCTAAACTTTGATCCCTGCCATAGAATTGTGTTATGTAACTCTTTATGTCATATTGAATCAAATTATTGTTCATACTTAATGTACGTTTTAGACAAAAATTCTTTGAAAATCATTTTAATTGTAGGTAAAGCATTAACATATATAAATAAATGTAATGTTACTGATTTATAATGTCCAAGTACTGAATTGATATACAAAATGTACCTCATTTTACAGGTACTTGAAAAATGTAAATGCACCTGTATGTTTTGATTAATGAAAGTCACATTTTCTGTATAAACAGAAATTAATTGTAACTCTTAATTTATATCTATAACCATGTAACTATATAATTTCACTGTTAGACAGACTATAAGCTTGCTTATATCGTCAATTTTTCATTTATTTTACAGGTAGCACTTATTATAGCCCAACATCGAGACAAGAGGAACAACTTGTCTGGTATAAAATTGTCTGCCCTCAGATATGGACTAGAAAAAGTCTATGTGAAGGCGAAGGAAAACAATGGTGAGTTATTACCTTTGATTAAAATGTAATGTTGTCTTAAAGCATACTTCTGATGTCAATTTCACAACCTTTTCAGAGACAAGTTGCACTGGCATGCTTAGGATGACGTAATTTTACCTTTATGAATGAAGTTGTAATTTCATACGCTGTTCATAGTTGTAAGAAAATAGTTCAGGGTGTAATGACATAAATTTCCATGGAAAATTATTTTATTAAGGTAAAAAGAATTTAAAATTTAATGGAATATGGTAGAATATGCAAGAAAAAATGTCTGACATATGTTTGCAGTTTGGATGGGAATACCCGTCCCCCGAGGGAAGGATATTTCGATCTGAACAGCAACATATGACATATATTATTAATCTAGTAGGTTATATTAACATCAAGTCAAGCTGTTATGTATATATTGGTCAAGAGCTTTAAACTGTTATCACTTTATTAATTTCAGCAAGTGTACATCTTCCTCGTATTGGACATACAACTGTAGGTTTTAACTGGTATGGGACAGAAAAACTCATCAAAAAACATCTAGCCTCAAAAGGAATTCCTACGTATATGTATCCTTTTATAATAAATGTTTGACAGTACTTTGTTAGTAATTTGAATAGACGATTGATTTCAGTTAAGTGATTTAAAAAACATTGTTTTGCTTATTAACTAAATACCGTACTTGTATATCTGGTAATTTACAGCACAGCCACAATTTTTGCAGTTATTAAATTTTAGCGCATCTAATTTAAGCAGTTATCTAATTTTCTAAATTTAGTGATTTTGCTGTATCAGATCCTTTTTTCTTTTTTTTTTTGAAGGTGGTTTTTGTTATTGTTTTTTTTCCCTGACAAAGCAATATCACTCTTTTTTCACATGATAAATTTTTTTTCAGTTTATTTTTAAGGAAAATATCAAGCTGCCTGTTTGCAGAAAGTAGGTTAAAATTGGACTTCAGTTTCTCATTAGGTAACAGCATGCATGACCAGAATTTATGTCTATTTGAGTGTTGAAAATGGTGCATAATTAAAATATATATACAAACAAAAAAATCTATATATACAAATGTATTTTAATCTATGTTACTAGTGTATTATATTTGAAATACATGTAGACTCAAGGTAGTACAATATTCACTCTTGACCAAACAAAAAGATATTACTTTCCAAGAAGACATCAGAAAAGGAAGGCAGTCACTGTAACCAGTAACGATGGTCCTCCTGCAAAAGGTTTGTTAGTTAGCAGGATTTTATATACATGGATATATGTGTGTTATAATCTACATATAAGGAAAGAATACCTCAGTACAAAATATTTGAATGTATATCTCAGTAGAATGTTTTTGTTTTTTTTAGTTTAATCAGACATGAATAAATTCAACAATTTTTGTTGTTTTAATTGTATAACAGATAAAAATATTACCTCTTTTTCTTTACATTAACAGGATAAAACAAAAATTACACCCATTTGGATGTTTTTGTAACAAATTCCCTTTTCCTGAATGTACATAAAAGACAATGAATGCTTTTTAGTAAACATTTTTTTATTATGTCTCATTGAGAAGAGGATAAAGTCTGAGCATATTGTTCACAAATACTGGCGGGAATGACTATGCTTTCCATCATTAATGAGGATACAGCTTTAAATCTTTACCCTGCTTAAACCAAAAGTGACCAGCCTTTTCCACCAGTATAGAGCCAGCTCAGCTTGCACTTCTATGCAGTCCATTAAAGAAATTCAGCAGGCAAAGGTTTCGATTTCTACTGATAATTTTAGGCATTATTTTTCCAGTTGTCAAGGATGCTCCAATTGCTTCAACAAGCAAAACATTGGCACAGAAGGAAGGTGGGGGTTTATCAAATATTTTCTCAGGGTCTGTGATATATCTACACAAAGATGGCCTATCTGAAGAAGATTTCAAGAAATACAAAAGATTAATCATAGCATATCCTTTTGTTATCTTTTTTTCTAGTGAAAATGAACTAATTTTTACATGAAAAAATCAATTGTACATGAAAAGTCTCCAGATTTTATCTGTTCTATGCTAGTATAATATTCTGTAGTGTAAAGGGAACCATGAATCTCTGGTAAAGGGAACCATGAATCTCTGGTTAAGGGAACCATGAATCTCTGAAATACTAGTAGTGTTAAGGGAACCATGAATCTCCAGTAAAGGGAACCATGAATCTCTGGTAAAGGGAACCATGAAAAGGGAACCATGAATCTCTGAAATACTAGTAGTGTAAAGGGAACCATGAATCTCTGGTAAAGGGAACCATGAATCTCTGGTTAAGGGAACCATGAATCTCTGAAATACTAGTAGTGTAAAGGGAACCATGAATCTCTGGTAAAGGGAACCATGAATCTCTGGTAAAGGGAATCATAAATCTCTGAAATACTAGTAGTGTAAAGGGAACCATGAATCTCTGGTTAAGGGAACCATGAATCTCTGGTAAAGGGAACCATGAATCTCTGAAATACTAGTAGTGTAACGGGAACCATGAATCTCCAGTAAAGGGAACCATGAATCTCTGAAATACTAGTAGTGTAAAGGGAACCATGAATCTCTGAAATACTAGTAGTGTTAAGGGAACCATGAACCTCCAGTAAAGGGAACCATGAAAACCATGAATCTCCAGTAAAGGGAACCATGAATCTCCAGTAAAGGGAACAATTAATCTCTGAAATACTAGTAGCATAAAGGGAACCATGAACCTCTGATATACAAATAGTGTTAAGGGAATCATGAACCTCTGAAATACTATTAGTGTAAAGGGAACATACTAGTAGTGTTAAGGGAACCATGGAAGGTCATCAGACATGACCATAGTTAAAATGTTGATGAAACTGTTCATTGATTTGTTTGCCATTTATACAATGTATTTATTTAAACCTTAACATCATTAACCTATGATGGTGATGTGGAAACAACTGTCTCAAACAGAACTACTCTAATTGTCATACCTCAGGATTGTGATCGTCAGGTAAAGTACAAATAAAATTTACTTTAACTCTTACCATATTCTTAACATCTTAAATATGCATGTGTATCAAAAGTTCAAAACCATTTATCATTTTTAGGGGAGATTGAAAAATATGTTCTGAATAATGCATAATGCCAACCATGATCACACTGCATTCATAAATGTGATTTAATATTGGCACAGGGGGATTTATTTTACTTTCTATATGGCCTTAAGTAAGCTTTGCCTTTTATTGGAGATCTTTTCTTCAACCTAATCATGACAAAAAAATCCAAAATGCTGTATCACTGTATTATACTCTCCATTTATATTTAAATATACAGTCCAACCCCGTTTATTCGAAGTGCCTGGGACTGAAAATTTACTTCAAATAATCGATGGGTTCGAATAATCTAAATCTGAATATTGTGACAAAAACTACTCCACTTTGACCAATCTTAGAAATCATGTATATATTTATATATCACACTTTGATGATTATTTTTGTAAATAATTAAGGGGGAGTTATTAGTGCTGGCCAGTTAGTGTAAAAAATTTATTTAATCTGAAAAAAATGTTGCTGTCTTGTAACAATGCAATGGACTACTTTGACAATTTGTGTCCACTCTTTTATTGTGATTTTTGTTATTTTCAGACTATTGTGGATTTGTCTGACAAACAAGATGGCGTTCCTATAGTAACAACAGAATGGATAGATGATTGCATGGAAAGGAAGAAACGGATAAAAACTGAAAACTATGAAATCAGTTGATATGTTTGGAAATCTATTTGGATAGAAATATTGAAACCTGTGATAGATACAGTACTGACAGTTTGTAGCTGAATATTTAATGTGCACTGATACTTAGATTTTAGATTTAGTTAAGTGAGATTTGTAGAATAGTCTGTGACTATGTATTAATAGGCAGCTTAATAGATAATGTGTTGATGTGAGACATTAATATGATATTGTCAAAATATTTCATTTTATCAGTTAATGTCTGATTGATCAGAGATATTTTATGTTCTAGAGATATCATGTTCTTGACCAGTTACATATTAACATTTTCATATTGTTGTTTTTATGCCCCCATAGGACGACATATTAAAATCACACCATCTGTCTGCACATCTGTCTGTGCATCCCAAATTACATAACATTTGTGTTTTGACTGTAACTTTGTCATGCATTGAAACATTTTTAAATAACTTAGCACAAATTTCTGCAACATCATGATGATTTGTCCCATCTAAGACCCATGTCCCTACTTCAAAGGTCAATGTCACACTTATAGTTTAAAGGTTCACATTCTCACAATTAGAGTTCAAAGGTATACACATTTGTGTCCAGATTCTGTATTTCATAGAAGAATTTTTAAATATATGTCTATCACATCAAGATGATGTGTTACGTCCAAGACCCATGACCCTACCTCCAAGGTCAAGGTCACACTTAAAGTTTGAAGGTACCTTATAATATAACTTGAGACAAATGTCTACCACATCAAGACAATGTGTGGCGTCCAAGGCTCATGTCACTACCTAAGAGGTCAACGTCACACTTAGAGGTTGAAGGTACATTTTTGTGTCTGGAAGGTAACTTTATCATGCATTTGAAGGAATTTAAAATAGCTTAGCATATATGTCTACAACATGAAGATGATGTGTTGCTTCCAAGGCCCATGTACCTACCTCCTGTATCAAGTAAACACATACAGTTTGAAGGTATTCATTCTCACAAGGAAGAGTTTGAAGGTACACGTGTCTGTCCGCACTGTAACATGTCATTTTAAGAATATTTGTGTGACTAATGTTTTTCATATTTGGTAGGATGATAACATACATGGTATTTTTTCTTTGGATTGTGAAAGAGGTCATTTTCATCAAGGTCACCTGTGTTGAAAATAGATTTTTACACTTTTGCCGATGCAGCCTTTATTTATGGACAGATGTCTTTCATGTTGTGTAGGAAAATAACTTGCATGGTCTTCTTCCTTAAGATTGAGTTTAGGGTCACTTGGTTCCAGTTCAAGGTCTTTCATATATATATATATTTGCTAATTTGTTATTGAAAATTTGATATATTTCAACTTCATAACAAAGCAATGACATGCAAACTGTCGTGACTGTCAAGTTATACAACAGTGTTTACAATTTTTTGGGCAATTTTTCTGTCCATAACCAATTGAATGAGTAAACCTTTTTTGAAAAATTATTACTGACAAGAATCAGGGCCAGGAGCATTTGTGTTTAACAAACACGTTTTTGTTTCAATTTTAAGATTTTTTTACGTTTAAAGAAACAATAATGACTATGTATGTAATTGGCGGCTTAATATACCTGTATGATATGTTGATGTGAGACAAGAAATTGTTGTCAAAATATTTCATTTTATCAGTTTATGTCTGATTGATTAGATATATAATATTCCCAACCAGTTACAAATTAAAATTTTCTTGTTGTTGCTGTTGAAGTTGTTTTCATCTTTTTTGTAAACTGTTTTTAATTTTAAGACTTTTTTATGTTTAAAGCAACTTTGGTTATATTTAACATCTTAAGCAGAAATCATTAAAACTTATTGTTTTATTTATTCTGCATGAAAAAACAATAATGAAAATAAAAATCTTTTTGTAATAAAATGAGAACTTCAATGGGCTTTTATATCATCATGATACTTGTCATTGCTAGAAGCATCCATAATAAACTTTAATTGGCAGCTTATTGATATTCATACATAATAATTGTTAATGCTGCCAAAAATGTTTAGAAATTTGTTTATATTTTTCTAATAAGAGCATCAGTTTTTGTTATGGAGAAGTTAGTGCCATATATAGATAACCTTTTGTTGGGTTTTGTATAAAAGCTTCTTTAAAGTTACCAGTACATTATGCCTGATCCATGTATGCTTTCCAAATTCACAAATACTAGTGTAAATTTTAGTCGAAGATTGAATAATCAGCTATGTTCAGTTTTTGCAATGGAAATTGTAAATGAACTTTTGTGACTATGTGATCATTTTCTTTTTTACCAAAAGTCAACATGCTACAACAATCAGGTACAGAAATATTTAAATGCAGTAAGTTGATTTTAAATTACATGTGATCAGGCTTATTGGTTAGATTATAATGGATTCTTTCCATTTATGACATTGTCAAACTACGTCTTATTTCTGTGTTTAAGTTAGAAATTTTAATAACTTTATTATTACTAGATGTACGAAGTTTATAGTTACAGTATAGAATAAAAATTAGAAATAAAAAAAAATATCCCTGTGGTTGTTTTTTTTGTTTGTTTTTTTTTTAGCTTACCTGAGTATAAAATCCTCAGAAGTGTGCTTTCTTGACAGCATGATGTCTGTGGTGCATTGTTTTCCTTTAACAATATTTTTTTGAACCATGTGGTATAGATTTTGACTTCACAGGAATGATCCCTCTACAGAATTAGTATAAATGGTTCCAGTCTTAGTTTTTCCCTTTTTTCAATATTTATTAGATCTGTCTAGTCACACTTGTTGTTTTGTCCAAGTCTTATTCATTTCCATAATTAAATGACCAAAGTTAAGAAAATATTTCAAGCAAAAATCAATCATTTGACCTTGATGGTTAGGGTCATATCCATCTGATCACAAGTGTTGTTTTGTCAATGTATGAATTAAATCTGTACATAAATAACAAGATAATGACAACTTAATCAAAATTCATTCATTTGACTTTGACAATCAAGGTCATTTAACCCATTACTTCATTTGTGAAAAATGTAGGTTTTCAGTGAAAAGTCTCGCGTTACAAGTTCAAATTGCTATAAAACTATAAAAAATGCTTCAATACTAATCAAACTTGGCACAAATGTTATCTGGACAATTGCATTTGTAACAACATACTCAGGCTTAAATTTCCTGTTACCATGGCAACGAGGGGACATCTCAAAATGGCCAAAAATCACAATTTTGCATTGATTTTTTCCATCAAAATTGATTTCAAAGTGCTGCAACTTCTCAATGGATTGAGATAGAGTCAGGTGCTTTTCAGCGTTGGTTACACGTTACATTTTGATCGATCTGGGGTCATTTTTAGCCTCTCACAAGTCCAAAATTTTCTTGGCGATGAGGGCACATCCCCCTTCTGGCAACCCCCTGATGTATCTTCTGGTTGGGGGGCCTCGCCGGAAATGTGGTCACTTTTTTACCAACATTTCTCAAACAAGAACATGTGTTGGGCGCCCAAACAGGACATTTTTTCACTATTTGAGGCCTTAAAGATGGGAGGTCGGAAATGCGTTGTTTCGCGTATATATGAAGTAAAGGGTTAACAAAAAATGATGAAAATATCTGAAATTGACCCAAAATCACGTTTTTCCATGTTTAAACATGGCCTAACATATAAATTTGAAGAAAACTTGTTGTTTTGTAAAAAAAATTATTTTTTTCATTAACAAAAATTATGAAAATACCTGAAATTACCCAAAATCGCGTTTTTCCATGTTTAAACATGGCCTAACATATAAATTTGAAGAAAAATTTTTGGTTTGTAAAAAAATTAATTGTTTTCATTAACCCATTACTTCATGAGCATTTTGTGAAAAATGGTGGTTTTCAGTGAAAAGTCTCCCGTTACAAGTTCAAATTCCTATAAAAACTGCTTCAATACTAATCAAACTTGGCACAAATGTTATCTGGACAATTGCATTTGTAACAACATACTCAGGCTTAAATTTTCTGTTACCATGGCAATGAGGGGACATCTCAAAATTGCCAAAAATCACTATTTTGCATTGATTTTTTCCATCAAAACTGATTTCAAAGTGCTGCAACTTCTCAGTGGATTGAGATAGAGTCAGGTGCTTTTCAGCGTTGGTTACACATTACATTTTGATCGATCTGGGGTCATTTTTAGCCTCTCACATGTCCAAAATTTTCTTGGCGATGAGGGGGACTCCGCCCCCTTCAAATCCCCCAAACAGAAGGGGGCACATCCCCCTTCTGGCAACCCCCTGATGTATCTTCAGGTTGGGGGCCCCGCCGAAAAAGTGGTCACTTTTTTTACCAACATTTCTCAAACGAAAACATGTGTTGGGGGCCCAAACAGGACATTTTTTCACTATTTGAGGCCTAAAAGAGGGGGGGGGGCAAAAGTCAGTGAAAATTCATAATTTGACCTTAAGGACGAAGTCTTATATGAGTCAAGGTCAATTTGTGTTGGTTACACATGAAGGTCTTAGCCTAAAGGAAGTTGTGTCTAAATATGAAAATATGAAGTTTTTTCATTTATAAATAAAAAAGGTTACAGCCAGTTATAGGAAAAAGAGAATTTCATTAATTTGACCTTGACAGTCAAGATCAATTAAGGTCAAGGTCACATCTAAATTATTCAGTTTGTTAGTTTGATTGCAAGTTTTGCTCAGTCTTAACTATAAATCACAACATAGACAAGATACATGTGATAGAAGGCAAAAATAAACAAAGAAACTAGAAAGGTACCCATTTAATTAATTTGCCTGTCACAACAGCATATTTCATAATCATATATGCATTTTTCATAAGTGTTGTATAAGTAAGTATACACAGGTACATATATGGGATATGTACCTGGTATACATAAATGAAAAGTATAATAACTAAAAAAATTGGCCTGTCCTTTAAATTGTGAATATGATTTTTGACCTCCAAGTCACATATCTTTATTTTCATGAAAATTGTTTTTTGTCCTCTTAGATTTAGATAGGACCCTATTTAGAATTAAATAGCCCGTGCAGGACAGACGTATGGGCGGACGAACAATTCTGTCACAGGGTGATCTCCCCTTCTTAAGCGGGGAAAAAAATGTAGCTCCGTAGAAATAAGCGTTTGTCGCGTTATACAGACACAATTGAAACAAAGATGGCTGCGCCCATCGAAAAAATTATGGCGGCATTTTTCAACTGTAAAATGCTTTGTCTAGTGATTATTTCATTGATAGCAGTCACAATAGATGTTGATGCAGCGAGACTCAGTGACCCAAAAGTTTTACTACCATACCATAGTTCTGTCGTCACAAATTTCACTCTGAGGATCAATCTGACACGGGAAGAGTCGCGAAGTCCAAGTTGTTACACATGGTAAAAATTTTGTGAGAGGGTGCAGTCGAAGGGCTAAATGACAGTATCTAATGCTAAAACCTTTCACTTAAATTTTTAACTAGCAATATATAGAAAATTATGGTGGATGTGGTGATTTTAGCATAGAACTTGGAAAAAGTTTTCATTAATTTATTTTCAATCACCAACGATAATTTAATTTTATGCTGAAATGCCGTGTTATAATCATTAACCGTAGTCATGATGAATGATGATAAACAGCAATGAGCAGTTCACAAACACTGAGGGTGTTAGGTGGGCATCCCGCCCTCCTATTTGCTAGATGGTCTTGTTAACTGTTAGTAAGTTTTTCATGTTGTTTGGCATGGTAAAGGGTCAACTCGGGCCAATAATATAAACATACATGCCATAACATCCTGGCCATCCGGGACTGTCCAGGAAATCAAGTATCTGTCCCGAAGGTGATTTATGATTTATGTCCCGGTAAAAATAAAAATCTAAACTAATCCAGAGCTCCAGATAGCGTGCGTATAAGCGTAAAATACGCATAGAAAATCTAAAATACGCATCACTTTCAAAATTCGTGCGTCACAGTTACGCACAACATAATGAAAATACGCTTGTATGTCAAAATTAATGCGTAAAAGAATAGAAGTGTAAACATTTGATATATAGAAAGAAAATGTTTTGAGCATAAAAATACAATATATTTCCATTTTATTGCATTGAAAACTATAAATTCTGTTGTCAACAACGCATGTTAAAGGAAATACAGAAGGGAAGTAACTCCCGTAGATCAACCTGTGAAATTATTGATGAAATTTGTGCCAGATAATCATCGTAGGAGCAAACACAATTTTAAGTTTGTTTAGGCATCTATTTGACATGCTTATGCATCAATATAAACAAAAATATATTTTAATTTCTTTAACTTTTGTTGTTGGAACAAAATAACATGTTTTTCACCTGCAGTTTTGTACTCAATATTTTCGTACCCAGTCTACAGTTACGGACAATTTTCTCTCAGACCAATACTTTTTTAAAGGAAAGATAAAAAAAAATCTTGTTTATGTTTCTTTTATTCTAATTTCAACTATAATTGTTCAAACTGGAGAACATGGAGGTGCATGCCAACAGAAATAAAGAAAGAAAAATATTGACTCCTAGAAAATAAAATAATTTCAAGGCTTCCACTAGTGGAAGTTTGGGAGTCATTTACTCCTTCATTTTGGCCCGTGACTTCCTAAAATCAATACTTTTCATTATTTACCTATATAATGTGACTTCCAATATCAGAGATTTTGAAGTCTTTGACTTCCAAATTTTGAAAATGGAAGCCCTGATAATTTTGCTGTTTATCCTAAACTTGAGTTCCAGTATACTCTGGAAGTCTGACTTTACATGGCATGTTTTGTATTGTTTCACATTAAATCAGTATTCAATTTGTAAAGGTTTTTCTAAAAAAAGAAAATAAACAAACAAAACGATAAGTTTAATTTGTTTATAAAAAATGCAAAATGCTTTTTTTGACAGATTTTACCCCTTAAGTTTTTCAGAATTTGCATTTTACCCCTCACTCTAAATTTTGAGGGGTAAAAACCCCTTGGCCAAAAAAAAATTATCGGCATGTTTTGTATTGTTTCACATTAAATCAGTATTCAATTTGTAAAGGTTTTTCTAAAAAAAGAAAATAAACAAACAAACAAAACAATAAGTTTAATTTGTTTATAAAAATGCAAAATGCTTTTTTGACAGATTTTACCCCTTAAGTTTTTCAGAATTTGCATTTTACCCCTCACTCTAAATTTTGAGGGGTAAAAACCCCTTGGCCGAAAAAATTATCTGGAGCTCTGTAATCTACAGACAGAAATTTTACATTTTTGTGTAATCTTATTGTCCATTATTACTATCTATTAAACAACATTAATAATTGGACAATTATCCCCATACAGCATAGCAATATACAATAAATGGTGACACTAATCTTCTGATTGGTAAATCTATGTGTCCATTCCAACTAACGATTGTCGGCAATAGTTTAGATCAATTAAAAGATTAATAGTTTTATATAAGCCCCTTTGGTTTCCTGAGTGAGGTGTTTAAACTGTTATTATTTATTATTAACAACTGGCCAGCATAAATTGAATCCGCCTGCAGGCAATTATTAACTTCATTGAGTGCTAGAACACTGTGAAAATTACCGCTAAATATGAGGTGATAAAGTCTACTGGATTCAGTGAATTTTTTACCCATTGACATGGCTAATTGTCCATACTTAACATAGCCGGATTCTATTCTGTGACTGATTGACATTACTTAAAAAACTGTTAATAATTATTGACATTTTGTCTTGTTATTGTTGTCTTTAAATTTGCAAATTGATATATTTTAACAAAAATAAAACAAAAGATAGGTAAAGAAGGGAAAGCATTACATTTTGAAAGTCACAAGCCAAAATAAAGGAGTAAATACTCCCAAATTTACATTAAAGGAAGCCCTGCAATAAAAATTTATCTTGAACAGCTAAATAAAACAATAATTTACAAAAGAGGGGCTTGAAATTAGCTTGAGCCCTTCCATCAGAGCCCAGTCAGTTTGAGTTAATGTCTACATTTATTACAATATAACAGTTTCATGAATGAATTATGTGACTTGGATGACTTTTCATTAATTTTGGTTATATTTTTCTCTAATACAGGCGCAGTAGTAGATTAGATGTTGCAACACTCCAGCTCATCAACAGTACTGATAATGAATGTGCACTTACAGCAGAGATTTCTGCAGTGTCCAAATCCTCCATGAGGAAAACTTCCATTGTTTTGGTTGAAAACAAAGGTTTAAAAGAACTTTATTGTGTATTTAGATAGTTCGTAAATATTTTAATAATTATTATATGTGCAAAGAACAGTTCACTATTACTGAATAGATAGGCTGATGTAGAACTATCCAATCAACTTTCAACAGTTTCAAGAAGACATATTGTAAATACTTGATTATATCTAAACTTTGAAAATATTTTTTAAAAATCATGAATTTGTCAATTCTTATATTAATGGGGAAAAAATGCTTTTTCATTTTGATATCTGAATTTTAATAAACAGCAGTTTTATCACAGATTGCAATGCCCTGCAATACTCAGTCAAAAATTATATTATATTTCGTGATTAAAAAAGACTACTTATTCTAATTTATTATAATCAATTTGATGTGTTTGTGCTATCAGGCACTCTATATTATACACATATTTGTTTCAGTAACTGGAGAAATATTGAAGTGTATAGTTATAGTTGACACACTACATCGTATCGAGATAGAAACTACTACACGTCTCTTATACCTCGAGGATTCTCCTGAAGAAATGATTGTCCGTGGTTATGACGTAGAAGGTAACAAATTAATAATTGTCACAAACTTTTGTTGTTATCCATTTATGACAACTTATTTTCAATTAGTTTAGTTTATATAAATTTATTTTATTTATTTCTTGATGAAGACCTCATGATAGGTCGAAACCGGTAGATAATAAAATAATATAAACATCCCTGGTGTTGACATGTAATTTTCTTTTTACTTATCTTGAAATTTAGTTTAGTTTGATTTTGTTGGAAGCTATAAGCTTATTGAAACACTCTCGAATCTGTTCCTGGAACCAACCAGTTCTAAGCAATAAATGTAAAGTTTCTTGCTCAAGGAAACAGTGGCATGCCTCTGACAAGGTTTGAACCCACGTAGTCAGCAATTCTTAGATTACTATTCTGATATGTTAACCACTCGACCACGCCGCCTATCTACTATAGAAAATGTTTACTTAAATTGAAAATAAAGCCTTTTTGTGTAGATGAAAATATAGATTCAGAATGATAGGGACATTATTATATATTTTTATTATATCTTAATTAGATTACCTTGACATATTTCTGGCTGTTATTTCAAGAAGAATTTGACTTTTGTTTCCATTTTGAAATAAGTCACATGCTTGCTTTACGACACTTTTCTAATGTATATTATTAGGCTAATGTATGTTATTAGTTAATAAGTTTTTTGACAGGTTATATGGCCCTATATAAATGGTTATTTGGAAATATATTGCCTTTTATTGCAAATAACCATTTAGATACGATCATATAACCTGACAGGAATATTTATAACGAATTTATAATACAGCAAACTTCCTTTTTTTAGAGAAAAAAATGACATTTCGGCATAATTTGATAGCAGTGGTGAATGTAAAATTTTATAAACATCATGATTATCCAATGAAAAGCAACATTACAGATGAACAGTGTTATAAATTTATTTATAAAATGACAAATTACATATATTTTAGAATGAAAATGACTAAATAAATGAAAATACATACACTTCATCCTACACACATCTTGTCAATAAAATTCTATGGGTATTTTTGGTATGATTTTGTTTCAGGAAATGTGTTCTCTAGTTTACAAGGCCTGGAATTTCAATGGAGTCTTCACTCAGATACTACCGGAGGTCATGATGATATTGTAGATGCTAACTCTATACTCAGGTAAAATAACCTGCAATACAACCCTTGTTGCTAAGACCATACAGAAGGTAGACTTTTACATTCAATTCAGGGGTCACACTTTATTGTAACATTTGTCAGAGTCATGGGAAATGAAAACAAGATATATTAAAAAATTCTTTCTTAATTCTAAATTTAATTTTATTTCATTTCATTTATAGCGCTACATGAGAAACATCTAAATATGTGGAGTTGCAAAAAAGGCTACTAGAATGAAGAATATCTTTATCATTTGAATATAAATTTTATTTTATATATATTTTCAGCCAATGTGTGTCAAAAATTGTAAAAGGACTGTTTTAACTGATTTATATACATGTACAAGTGAAGAGGGACAATATTAAAACTAATGTATTATGCTTTTTAGTCCCCTACCGGTTTACCGGAGGGGACTTTAGGTTTACCCTCCGTCCGTCTGTCCGTCCATCCGTCCGTCCGTCTGTCCGTCCGTCAGTCCGTCCGTCCACAAAACTGGATCCCGCGATAACGCAAAAAGTACTGAAGATATTTTAATGAAACTTGATATATGGATAGATGGCAGTATGGAGATTATGCACGTCTTTTTCTTTTCTTCCTATGTTGAAAATTCTGGTTGCTATGGCAACAAATAGACTGCAAATATGGCAAATTTTACACATAACCTGGATCCCGCGATAACGCAAAAAGTACTGAAAATATTTTTATGAAACTTGATATATGGATAGATGGCAGTATGGAGATTATGCACGTTTTTTTCTTTTCTTCCTATGTTGAAAATTCTGGTTGCTATGGCAACAAATAGACTGAAAATATGGCAAAGTTTACACATAACCTGGATCCAGTGATAACACAAAAAGTACTGAAAATATGTTTATGCAACTTGACATATGGGTAGATGGCAGTATGGAAATAATGCACATCCTTTTTTATCTTCCTATGTTGATAATTCTTGTTGCTATGGCAACAAATAGACTGAATTTCAAGATTTCTGATTCTAGTTTTTAAGTTTTTTCACTATAAGTTCTTTATTTCTTCAGGTATTTTCTTCAAACTTTAAATATAAGTTGCTTGTCATCAACCACATCATATGTGACAAGGTTTACAACTCTAGCACAAAATTTATCAGAATTACCTCCCTTGAACTTAAAATTTTCATGAAAAAAACATTTTTTTTTTTTTTTTAATAACTTCTTTTTCTGAATGTATCTACTTCAAACTTCATATAAATGTTTCTTATTGTCACTCAACATTTGTGAGTGTTCAATACTCTAGCAAGACTATTTCCAGAATTATGCCCCTTTTGAACTTAGACATTTTTTTGAGAAATTGGTAATTTTTACTCCAACTTCTTCAATCATGATAGGATTTTAAAAATGTTATATTTTCATAACAGGGATGTTTAAAAAATAACTTTAGAGTGTCCTTCAATCCGTCTGTCTGTACATAAAAACTGTTTGTTGTGATCATTTTTAAAGAACTTTTTCAACAAATTTACTTAAAATAGGAACCTAAGTGAATGGCCAATGGCCCTTCAGAATGTTGCTTGGGCTCTTACCGGTAGGGGACTTATGGATTGCTTGCAATACTATGATAATTGCTTGTTTGTTCAGGATTTTAAAGTTCAGTGACTCGCATTACACAACACCACAACACATAGAAGTAATAGAAGAGCGTGGTCGTCAAGGTGACATCATTCTAGTTGAAGGTGTCCGTACAGGAAGTGCTTATGTTTGGGCCAAAATTCGAGATGTAGCATATGCAGTAAGTATTTATAGCCAGACATCTCATGTCATATAATTAAGCACTTAGTTGTACATGTGTATCAAAATTTCCTTTATTGCTCAAAAGTGATATTATTAATATAGTTATGATAAATTTGCATAAGTTATTTAATTGTTTACTTGTAGAACTTGGCCAATGATGTTCTATGGTATATATGTTCAGCTTAATTTGTTTTTTTTCTACAAATTTGTTGTAACCATTGATTACTTCATAACTTTAATCTGTACAAAATGATGAATTTATACACATAATTTTTTCACTCAAGTATTTTCTTGTTGTAGAGATTTTATGATTGGATATTTTTAGCAGAATTATGGCCCTTGCTTCTTTTACATAAGTTATATTGACAGTAAACATGTGTTTTATTTTCTGTGAAAATCTATAATTTGTTATATTTGATGTTTCAGAAAGTAGAGCACAGCAGTGTCAGACTGATGGTGATTGCTAATTTGATGATCAGTCCTCCTGAAGCATATATACTCAAGTATGCTACAGTCAAGTACAAGGTGGAACAAATCAGACAAAATTCTGTCATAGGTTAGTTTGCTTCTCAAGAGATTTCTCTTAAAACAGTTACTTATAATTGAGCCGCGTCCGTGCAGTCTGATCAGGATCCATGCTGTTCGCTATCAGTTTCTCTACTTGTCATAGGGTTTATAAGCGAACAGCATGGATCCTGATCAGACTGAACGGATGCGCAGGCTGGTCTGGATCCATGCTGGTCGCAAACCCATTATGTTGCTTTTGTCATGACACAGCTCATATACTGTTTACTACTGGAATGAGAGCTAGAGTGGTCCTTCCCTGTATCTCCTTGTCATTACCTTGGAGCCGCATCAACACATTAGATTTCTCTATAAACAGTTACTTATATGCTGTATATTAGTGGTATAAGAATTAGGGTTGTTCTTCTCTATATCTTCTTTCATTGGCATTGTCGCTGCATCAACATGTAACGGATAGATTAACAAAATCAGCCATAATATTTATACTTTGTTATGATATTTATTTCAGAGATACTGATGCCCAATGCCCAGTATTCATTGGAGGTTGTAGATGGCACTATTGGGACGTTAGATGCCAGTACATCAGTAGCTACAGCTCTAGAACTTGGTGAAACTGAAGTCAAACTTATAGACAAGAGTATCCTTTCTTACCATAGCAACAATTCTTTTTTATCTTTTTTTTTTATTAAAAAACTGAGCTATTTTAGCTATAATTTCATCATTGATTATTATTTGGTTTTTACCAAAAATTATTCCATGAATATATGTTTTAAGCCTCCAACAATGTATTGTTAAACATGGTTTCTATTTTGAAAATCCTGGATTTTAGAGTGGAGAGAATAGGTGACTTTCAGATGAGAAACTTTTCTTTTTCACCTTTACTATTTTAGATAAATCATCAAAAGCTACAAGTTAAATCAAGATTTTATCATCTGAGTATAAATAATTATATATCATGAAGTATATTTTCACATTTCACTGTTTCCTGTCCAATGTCTGCACACACAGTCTTGTGTATTTTATTGTTGACCTTGACCTAATTTACCAGACATTAAAACATCAGATGTACTGGGACAACCATCAGCTATTCTACATGTTGTCAGTCCAAGTTACCTCGGTAAGTTTCTTTCTACGCTGTTATTGAAGCGTTAAATTTTATGGAATTGAAAATACAAACTCCTGATAACTCTCAAGTATACACATATATTACATGAATTGCTTTTAAGATATGCCATGGTCTTACAGAAAACAACCTATAGGTGATATTGATTAAAATGTTAAGACATACAAGAATGCATTCAAACTTCCTCTTTTTACAAACTTGAATTGAATTTGTATTTGTTAATAAAATGACAGGATTAAATGAAACTTCATACAGTTAAATTAATCATCAAAAAAATGGCTTTACAAAGCTTTTTATGCGCCCACAATGTGGCAGCATATAGCATTGCACTTGTCCGTCAGTCCGTCTGTACGTCCCGAAATCTTGTGAACGCAACTCCTCTTTAACTGGATGGCAGATTTTGCTTAAACTTACAGGGATGAAGAACCTTAATGTGTAGATGGTAGTAAAGGAAGGAATTTTTGCTGCGACCAAATTTAACAGAATTATGGCCCTTTGTTGATTTTTTCACTATATACTATGTAGAAATTTTGTGAACGCAACTCCTCTTTAACTGGATGGCAGATTTTGCTTAAACTTACAGGGATGAACAACCTTAATGTGTAGATGGTAGTAAGAGGAATTTTTGCTGCGACCAAATTTATCAGAATTATGGCCCTTTGTTGATTTTTTCACTATATACTATGTAGAAATTGTGTGAACGCAACTCCTCTTAAACTGGATGGCAGATTTTGCTTAAACTTACAGGGATGAACAACCTTAATGTGTAGATGGTAGTAAAGGAAGGAATTTTTGCTGCGACCAAATTTAACAGAATTATGGCCCTTTGTTGATTTTTTCACTATATACTATGTAGAAATTTTGTGAACGCAACTCCTCTTTAACTGGATGGCAGATTTTGCTTAAACTTACAGGGATTAACAACCTTAATGTGTAGATGGTAGTAAAGGAAGGAATTTTTGCTGCGACCAAATTTAACAGAATTATGGCCCTTTGTTGATTTTTCACTATATACTATGTGGAAATTTTGTGAACGCAACTCCTCTTAAACCGGATGGCAGATTTTGCTTAAACTTCCAGGGATTAAACAATCTTAATGTGTAGATGGTAGTAAAGGAAGGAATTTTTGCTGCGACCAAATTTAACAGAATTATTGCCCTTTGTTGATTTTTTGTTTTCAACTTGTGGCACATGTAGTTCAAAAAATATTGACAGAACAGTGGCGTGTGGGGGCATCCGTGTCCTATGGACACATTTCTAGTTTTATATATATTATCAAATGGTTAGGAACTAGCCTGTTTGTAATTGTATGTTAAATCTTTTTCATGAATGGAAATGTGTTCATTTACATGTAGAAGTACAGTGTTTTAATACAGAAAATTCATAAAATATTTTTTAATTAATAAAAGAGAGATTGCATAGAAGCAAGGTTATTTAAAAGCTTTATTCTAAGTAATCCAGAAAGTTATGAGACTTTGTTTTAGAATAGGAAAGGACTTGTTATTTGACAGGTCAAGGGGTCAAGTTGATTTGTTATTTGTTTTACAGGATTTGTTGTACTACCTGACAGAAAATGGGTGCTTGAAACTGGGCGTGTCTACACAGTATTGATTGAAGTCTATGATAAACACAGCCACAAACTCTACCCTTCTGATGTAAGTTTATGTTTTATGAAATGTTACTGAAATTATGAGAGTTAGTCTACTGTTAAATCAAAGTTTTTCATTGTATACATTTGACTTTGTGATTACCTTCAATTTTGTTTCAGATAAGGTTAAACTGTTGAAAATGTATCAAATTCATTCTCAATTGCAAAATTTGGCCCTTTCAGACAAACTATATCGAAATGCTCTTGTCTCTTTCAATTGCAGTGAATTTTGTTGATATATTTCTATACTTGACTAAATATTTGTACTATTAACATAACACTTTTACACTGTTCTGTACATATGTAAACAAATTACTTGTAATTAATTGAGAGAATTGAGAGATTAACTTATATATTGAAATGAAGGTCATATGAAAAAGAAAGAAAAAAGGTAGCTTAAAGTATCAAAAAATTCTTTTGCCAACATATTTTAGCAAATTTGTTTATAACAACAGAAGCTGTATTCCTTACAATAACAAAAAACCCTTACTTACTGCCATTTTGATGCTTAACTTGTTTTGTTTGTTTTAGAATGTAATGATAGATGCTTTGTTTCCCGGAGAATACTTCAAAGTAGAATTTTCAACAGATAATGGTACATATCATGTTGTTAGAACTCTCCGGAAAGGTGATACAGATCTTGAAGGGGCTCTTTCTACCATTAAAAAACAGGTAATATTTACATTTACAAAATATCAAGATTACCTGTATCTTTAAGTTTCAAATAGCAGGTAGTAGTATACAAATGTTTCTCTAGCACAGGGTCTGTGTATTCCCAGCTAGGTGGTAATACTTTTTGATCCTCGATTTAGACCTGATGATTCACAAATCGAACTACAGATCATGTCATTGTATAAATACTTTTGGAAATACATTGTTGTTTAAAACATTTAAAAATAAAAATGCATATCAAAAAATGACTTTGACATAGCTCCTTAACAACAATTTAATGTTTAAGTTTACCTTCTAACAAAATGATTCAGAACTGGTTAAATGCATGTCAAATGAAAACAGGAAAGGAAGTTAGTAAAACATTTTTTTTACATTAATTGAGGGGCTTATAAGATTTTTATTAATATAGTTGTGAATCATGATCCAGAGATCTTAGGACTTTGTTGTCAAGGTCCGAATTTCAAATATTCAATTTTTATGAGATATCTGCCCTATCTATCACTTTTACTTCAAAAGGCATAATTATACATGGATTATATTTAAAATATCTGTCCATAACATGACACCACCATTTTCTAAATTCATGACCTCATTAAGGCCAATTGGCTTTTGAAATGATAATTATTGGCCCTCTAATTACCAGTAAACAGTTTCTGGATAGTTTTGATCTTAAAGATTTATGCTTTATGTTTTAGAAACATAGTTTTTTGTTAGAAAATAGTTGTAATGACATTAGGATGCATGTACAGTTACATGAGAGACACAGAATCTACAAAAAAACATTGTTCATATTAAAACCATATTTATATAGAAGATAATGACAATTACTGTCAAAATTATTTAAATCTTCAGTTGCACTTGAAGCTTTTTTTAACCAATCTTTTGATGTGCCTGCTTTCTGGAACTAACAGGTGTCATGTAAGGAAACATTGTTGTGGCACTGTGACAGTTTGAACCCATGACCTCAGGATTGTGACTCGTACACTTGAACCATCAGGCCTCTTCTCTCTTACTATCAATATGAAAGCTGCAACTTTACTTGATCTACGAATAATTTATTTTTTTAGACCCCCACGCCGAAGTTGTCACGGTGAACAAATATGGCGAGATATCTACGTCTGCTCATGGGGAGGCAGAAGTAACAGCTTGTATTAATATAATTTATATTCTAAAAATCCCCCATGCTCTTGTTGTATTATTATTTACAGGATGGTAGTGAGCACTCTGTGAGCCCTACAATCAAACAGACACAGTTTGTAGAGATCTTTGATCCTATTGTAGTGCAGCCAGAGTTACTGTTCTTCCCATGGGACCCCGTGAGACAGCTATCTCATAGATATCAACTACAGGTGAGTCATCATTTTATGATTGAAAATTAACATGTGTTTTTTCACCATTTAAACAGTCAGAATTTAGAATTATTTATTTCCATGATTATTATATGAGACTTAAAGGATTTATTAGGATATATTTCATCAGAAGCACTTATAGCTGCCACTTTATTATCTCCTGACAGTGCTGTAAGTAGCAAATGAAATGGGTTGCAGTGTTAAACTTGGTTAAGAATGCTGGAATGTCTTTTTATACCTGTTTTTAAAAAAATTGTTGACTTGTTTGGTTTATACAGAATTTAGTTTAGTTTGATTTGTGTCGGAAGCTATAAGCTTATAGACCCACTTTCAAATCTGTTCTTGGAACCAACAAGTACTGAACAATAAGTGTAAAGTTTCTTGCTGAAGGAAACAACGGCTTACCCCTGACAGGGTTTTGAACCTGCACGACTAGCGATCCATAGATTGCTATGTTGACTTGTTTGATCAAATGATCTTCAATATTTTATGTTTAAGGCTACTGGTGGAAGTGGAGACTATATGTGGAGTTCCAATGACGCAGAAGTTGTCACGGTGAACAAATATGGCGAGATATCTACGTCTGCTCGTGGGGAGGCAGAAGTAACAGCTTCTGATAAAAGAAATCAATTACATAAAGGACTGGCCAAGGTAAATCATACATGCCCATATTGTTTTCTACCATTATTTTGTCATATTAATTAACTGATGAATGAGGTATTGACTTTCTTTTGAAAATATTTATGATATTCAACAGATATTGAATTCAACATTATGTACATAAGTAAATAAATGGTAGGCTAAAACTTTGTTTAAATATATTGTTATATTAAAATATTGATAATATAAATACTAAACTCAAAATAAGGTACATTCATGCATAAGTAACTCATCAAAATTATACTCTAGATGAATAAACTTTTTCTATTTTTAGCTTGACTATTCGAAGAATATGAGAGCTATTGTAGTCGCCCCGGCGTCGGCGTCCGCGTCCGCGTCGGCGTCTGCGTTGGTTAAAGTTTTTTGTAAAGTCAAATATCTCAATTATTACTTGAGATATTTAATTGAAACTTACAATACTTATTTATAGTAACAAGCTACATCAGATTTACAAGTTGGATAACTCTGCCTACAATATTGACAGAATTATGCCCCTTTTTAACTTAGAAATTTTGGTTAAAGTTTTTTGTTAAGTCAAATATCTCAATTAGTACTTGAGATATTCAATTGAAACTTACAATACTTATTTATAGTAACAAGCTACATCAGATTTACAAGTTGGATAACTCTGCCTACAATATTGACAGAATTATGCCCCTTTTTAACTTAGAAATTTTGGTTAAAGTTTTTTGTAAAGTCAAATATCTCAATTAGTACTTGAGATATTCAATTGAAACTTACAATACTTATTTATAGTAACAAGGTACATCAGATTGACAAGTTGGATAACTCTGCCTACAATATTGACAGAATTATGCCCCTTTTTAACTTAGAAATTTTGGTTAAAGTTTTTTCTAAAGTCAAATATCTCAATTATTGCTTGAGATATTCAATTGAAATTTAAAATACTTTTTTATAGTAACAATGTACATCCGTTTGCAAAATTGCATAACTCTGCCTGCAATATTTACAGAATTATTTGCCCCTTTTAAACTTAGAAAGTTTGGTTAAAGGTTAAAGGTCTTCAAATATATTTACTTGAAACTTTACACATGCACTTAGGGTCATAATTGGAGGGTCATAATTGTATGTCAATGACCAAGTTCCATAACTCTATCTTGCATTAAGGCTGATTCATATCCCCTTTTCTACTTAGTCTCTTGGTTAATGTTTACATGCAGGTTTTACATATCTCAATAACTATTAAAGATATTTATTTAAAACTTCACATATGCATTTAGGGTCATAATTGTTGGTCACTGACAAAGATCCATAATTCTATCTTGCATTAAGGCTGATTTTTCTCCCCTTTTTCAACTTAGAAATTCATGGTAAAGTTTTGCTTGTAAGCTGTTATCTCAATAACTACTGAAGGGTTTGTGCCTTTTTTGGGACAATTTTATGCATTCATAATAATAATGCAGTTATTTACTTGATAAAACATCTTAATAACAAGCCTTTGTACCTTTTCTGTCAAATTTATGTATTCATAGGTAATTAGTATTATTATACTCAATAAAACACCCTCGTGACATTACCTTCCAAATAGTCAAGCCAATACTGTATAATTAGACTCTCTCTAAGGCCTATAACATGAATTTATAAAAAAAAATTAGCCCTTTTATGAACTTAAAAAATTTAACATTATCAAGGCTCTTTTACTATCAAGCACTTAGAATAGTCGAGCGTGCTGTCCTACCGACAGCTCTTGTTAAATAAACAAGTACATCAAAAGAAGGAGAGAACACACGTCAAACATCAGGATGGTTTGTAAACTGGTTTATTCAAGAATCATCATTTTTTATTAGCTCGACTATTCGCAGAATAATCGAGCTAATGCAGTCACCCATTTGTCGGCGTCGGCGTCCCTGTGGTTAAGTTTTTGTATGTAAGCTGGTATCTCTATAACTACTGAAGGGAATGGATTGAAACTTCACACACTTGTTCTCTGTAATTATCTAAGATGATTGGCACAAGTCCCATAACTCTGATTTGCTTTTTTTTGATAATTATGCCCCTTTTTCGACTTAGAAATTCTTGGTTAAGTTTTTGTATGTAAGCTGGTATCTCCTTAATTACTGAAGGGAATGGATTGAAACTTCACACACTTGTTCTCTGTGATTATCTAAGATGATTGGCACAAGTCCCATAACTCTGATTTGCTTTTTTTCATAATTATGCCCCTTTTTTCGACTTAGAAATTCTTGGTTAAGTTTTTGTATGTAAGCTGGTATCTCCTTAACTACTGAAGGGAATGGATTGAAACTTCACACACTTGTTCTCTGTGATTATCTAAGATGATTAGCACAAGTCCCATAACTCTGATTTGCTTTTTTACATAATTATGCCCCTTTTTCGACTTAGAAATTCTTGGTTAAGTTTTTGCATGTAAGCTGGTATCTCCATAACTACTGAAGGGAATGGATTGAAACTTCACACACTTGTTCTCTGTGATTATCTAAGATGATTGGCACAAGTCCCATAACTCTAATTTGCTTTTTAACATAATTATGCCCCTTTTTCGACTTAGAAATTCTTGGTTAGTTTTTGCGTGTAAGCTGGTATCTCCATTACTACTAGAGGGAATGGATTGAAACTTCACACACTTGGTCTCTGTGATTATCTAAGATGATTGGTACAAGTCCCATTACTCTGATTTACTTTTTTGCATAATTATGCCCCTTTTTCGACTCATGAATTCTTGGTTAAGTTTTTGCATGTAAGCTTGTATCTCCATAACTACTGAAGGGAATGTATTGAAACTTGAAGAGTTTGTACCTTTTCGGACAATTTTATGTATTCATATAGGTAAGCATTATTATACTCAATGAAACACCCTTGTGACAAATTTTCGAATAGTCGAGCGTTACTGTCCTCCGACAGTTCTTGTTTTTATATGAGATCAATTTTTGGAGAGTAAACACAGATTTTCCTCACCGCTGTGGGTTCAGTCCCGACAGGGACTTTGGATTCTTTCATGTGAGGAAGCTATCCATCTAGCTTACGGAACGTTGGTGTTTCTACTCAGGTGCCCGTTCATGCCTGAAATAATGCATGGAAGGGCACCTGAGGTCTTTCTCTACCAGTAAGCTGGAACGTCACGATATGACCTATACTCATACTGTGTTGATGTGACGTAAAAACACAAAACAAACAAACAAAAACACAGATTTGATCGTAGGTAGCGATTAATTTCAGGTGCACATATTACCACCGTCTGACATGGAGTTTAGACCGGAGAGAGTGGAGGTAGAGGTGGGTAGTGTGTTAGAACTACCATTAGATATACAAACTACTCTAGCAGGACGGAAATACTCCTTCAATGACTGTAGGAACATGCCATTAAATGTGACTTTCACTGACCCATCAGTCGTGGAAAATGTGGATGGTCAGTATAAAAAACAATTGTTATTATATATTGGTTAATAGATTTATAACAGTTTAATGTATAATCACTTCAATGAAAACAAAACGCTTTTCTTAAGCTTTTGACATTTGGTCTTCATCAGAATTTTTGTTTCTTCTTCAGAATTTTTGTTTTTTTAACAGCTTAATATCATATGTTTCATTTTCTTTTACCCATGAAGCTTGATCATGGGATTTCAAGCTTCTAAGAACAAAATATTTTACCTAATTCTTATTATTAGTTCACTATGCAAGTAACACTAGGTTTCTCATATTGTTTAAGTCACTTTACTTTAACTACAAATTTATGTACTTTTGTTCAAGTAAATTTAACAACAAATTATTATAAAAAAATCATAAGTTATATAAATTTTAGGGTTTACAATATTGAGAGATGGAACTTGTAGAACTATCAAGGTGAAAGCATTACAACAAGGTCATACAAAGGTCAAGGCCATATATAACCATGGTAACATCAGGCTTGAATCAAGCATCACCATAGCAACATATGATGCTTTAGTGGTAAGTTTCTTTTTTAGCTATTTATATTAGATATTAAAGTTTGTCATTAGAAATAGATATTTTTGAGTGTTTTTATTCAAGTTTAGCTTATCACTGGGGTTGTCTTAAGAGGCAAATCATTTATATATTTTATTGTTATAAGAGAATCTTTTTATTTAGGATATTCATTTTGGAGTGTAGTAATGTTGAATTGAATTATTTCTCCAATGTAAACATTTTGCATATAACCAGTTTATGTAGAGGATACATGTTTTTATGTAAGATTGAAATATATTTCAGTGTGATCACCAGGTGCAAAAATTTTTTCAGTGGCATAGCCATCAGTGAAAAACATAACATCTGAGTTGGTTAGTGAAATATAATATATATATGAGTATATATAATATAGTGATAATTTCACTTTGAAATTACTTAAATGTAATTTCATTGTTCACTGAAAAGTATTTAATAAATGTACAGCATAAGATATTTGAATGTATTTTATCAATATAAACCATTTAAATATGTTTCAGCCTGTTGACCCGGAGAAAGAATCAGTGATAACTGTTGGATCCTCAAAAGAGATTTTATTCTCCGGCGGGCCTCAGCCTTGGATTCTCGACTCCTCTAAATACTTTGCAAGACGTAAGTTTTTGTCTATAGTCAAATTCTCTTTTGTTTTTAATTTATAATAATCACTAGACAACTGGAGGGAATATTCAGTGTTGTTTAATTTGCTTTGATCGTCAGTCAAGAGTAGAAGATATCCAGCTAGCTTATTGAAAGTTGGTTGTTTTACTTAGCTTCCCAGTCATTCCAGAAATCATGTATAGAGAGGGACCTGTGACCTTTTACTAGCGGTGAAATCTGCCAAGTCATTGTGACTTTAAAACCTCCCAAAAAAATGAATTTTACCACTCGAGAGTATTTTTATAGACCACCTGTCAGTATTGATCTCCATAGACATCTTGAATTACGTTTTATTTAGATTTTAATTTACGATTTTTTATGCCCCCGGGCATATAGTAATTGAACCGTCTGTCCGTCCGTCCGTCTGTCTGTACGAGGTTAACCTAGAACGGCAAGTTGGATTTTTCTTAAGTTCTACCTGTACCAATGGCTTCATAATTTACACACTTACTAATCCATACAAAGTATATGATCTGGGCAAGTTACATAACTATGGCTTCAAATTGGTTCAAGTTATGGCCCTTTTCAGCACTTAGAAAATGAATAATGGTTAACCTAAACCGGCAAGTTGGAAATATCCTTTGTTCTATCTGAACTAATGGCTTAATAATTTTCACACTTACTTATCAATACAATGTGCATGATATTGCCAAGTTATATAAATGTGCCATCCATTTTCCCGGTAATTTCCCTTTTTATCACTTTGAAAATAGGGCCTTGTATGGTTAACCTATTCCGCCAAGTTGGATTTATCAAAAAATTTCACCTAATTACTTAATTTATTTAATGTTATCTTTTATATTTGGTAGGTGGATACCTTTAACGGTCCTCTAATTTTTTGTGGCGTTTGGCATTTCTAGGTCAAGGTCACTTGTAAAATAATAAATCTAAACATTTCTGCTCATGCAGCCTTTATTTTTAAGTTAATGTCTTTCATGTTTATAATAGTCATACCAAGGGAGGTCCTCTTCCTTTTCCTTTAGTAAGGGGTCATTTGGGTCAAGGTCACCAATGTCAAAAATAGATTTTTTACACTTTTACAGGTGTATTAACCTTATTCTATCGACAGATGTCTTGTATATTTTGTAGGAACATAAAATTGAGGTATTCTCATTTGGATGGAGGTAGGGGTCAGTTGGGTCAAGGTCACCAGTGCTAAAAATAGATTTTTACACTTTTGCTCATACAGCCTTTATTTATTGACAGATTTGTATTATAATTGGTAGGAAGATAACTTACATGGTATTCTTCCTTTGGATGGAGTTAGGGGTCAGTTTGGTCAGGGTCAACAGTGCTAAAAATAGATTTTTACACTTTTGCCCATACAGCCTTTATATATTGACATATTTATTTCATATTTGGCAGGAAAATAAGTTGCATGATATTCTTCCTTTGGATGGAGTTAGGTGTCAGTTGGGTCAAGGTCACCAGTGCTAAAAATAGATTTTTTACACTTTTGCCCATACAGCCTATATTTTAAATATTGTTACTGACAAGAATCTGAGCCGGGGCATTTGTGTTTAACAAACACGTTCTTGTTTATTTATTCTTTCAAAAATATAGAAGTACCGAAAAATTATTCTTTAGGTTTAATAAGGTGTTGAAAATTTATTTTATTTTATTTTTTGTAGCACATAATTGTAGAGTGGAAGGTAAAAATAATCCTAAAGACACCATTATAGCAGGAAGTCTTGGCTTTTTTATGCCTGGTTTGATGCCTTGTAATGTAGCACTTACTTGCTTAGCAAAATATCATGTTGGAAATTCATTCAAGTTGTTGTTTTTTGAACTTTGTATTTGTATTATTCCTTGCTGTTTAATTTTTACAGTTTTTTTTTTATGTGTGTGTTATTATTTATTTTACTTAATCAAGCAGGCTTTCAAAGGATGCCTAACATTCAATTTGAGCAACATATTGTTAAATTATTGAGATTGGAAGTTATAACTATTTCTAATGTTTCCACATTGCAAACATTGTATTTTATAATTTAGTTGTAAACAGGTGTTATTGTTAAGGGTACCATAATATAAAATTCTTGTTAAATTATTGCATAACATGAAAATTATTTTTGAGAGATTGTTTGCTAAAATTTAAAATTCAGACCATTAGCAATTTATCTGAACTTATTAACTAATGAACATTTTTTATTCCAATTAGAAATTAAGTTTATTGGCAAGAAAGGAAATTAATGTATTGAAGACTATATGAAATAAGGAAAATATTGTTACAAAATGCAGGGTAATGCCAGGTATATGTAAATACTGCTTCTGAATATATTGTATGATTAGAGCAACAATTATGCTTGCTTCGGGTAGAATGGTGAACTTATTGCTAGGCTCGAAAAAAAAGCTATTCTACAACAATACTGTATAAGTGGATATTTCCGCAGACATTTCACTTATGAAAATATGAGAGGATTGTGCCGGGGTAGAATATAATGACAGATTAGTTAATATTTATGCTAGAGGAAATTTTAATGATTTTTATCAATTCTCGAAATTCGCCAATATTTTTGTGTCGCTTACTTAACCACTACTGAATGCTATATCACACAAATAGCATAAATTTGATGTACTTGTATTAAATTGTTGTTTTTCTGATGTAAGTGTAATTATGTTATAATATATTTATCCAGATAACATTAAGCTGACAACAGTCTTTCAAACTCCTTGGTATCAATTTAAAAAAAAACAAAAAAAACATTTAAATGGAATTTTTTATGTATGCAGAAAAAGTTAAGTTTGTTTATTGTTTGTTGATACAAAAACTTTTTAACCTGTGTTGAGCTTGTGTTTTTCAATAATCACATGTGAAACAGCATTCATCTGACTTACGGGACTTTGGTAGTATTACAAATTCATTATTCAACAAAAGAAGAAATGTTGGCAGTAAGATTTCAATTCCAAAAGTAAATCATACCAGAGACTTTTCAATGAACCAAATTATTATTCATAATAATAGTAATTTGTAAACCATCTTGCAATCTTTGACTGAATTGCTGTATGGCTTTTTTGCATTTTCGTCACCCTTATACAGTTGCTTGTATATCCTCAGCTGTTCATGCTACATCTAAATCATTTAATTCTTCCAAATCATTTAGTTCATCTACTTCATTCAGTTCAAACTGATCATTTAGTTCATTGAGATCATTTAGTTCATCCAAATAATCTAGTTCATCCACTTTATTTAGTTCATCTAAATCATTCAGTTAATTTAAATCATTCAGTTCATTGAGATCATTAAGTTCATTGAGATCATTAAGTTCATCCAAATCATCTAGTTTATCCACTTTATTTAGTTTATCTAACTAATTCATTCGTTGATATCATTTAGTTAATTTGAAATCATTGAGTTCATTGAGTGTATCTTAATCATTCAGTTGATTGAGATCATTTAGTTCATTTGAATAGTTCATTTGAATCATTGGGTTAATTAAAATCATTTAGTTCATTGAGATCATTTAGTTCATGCAAGTCATCAAGTTCATCCAAATCATCTAGTTCATCCACATTATTTTAGTCTAGATATACTTATTAACCAGAGCCAGAAGTATGCAAACAATTTTGCACAAACACCTAGATACACATCTCATAATCAGAAACAAAAGTGGTGAACTGTGTGATGGTGGAGAATTGTGTTCCCTTTTGAATAAATATAACTGATATCTCACTGAGAATTGGAAATTTTAAGACATTCTTAGCGTATATCACAGAGTGAAATGTTCATGTTTTTGTATATTATACAAACTGAGTGTTATTGTAAATAAAATTAAAGATACAGTAAAATCGGTACATACCAACAACATTTTAAATATAAAGAAATAAATATAAATTACTTTGAAGTTATATGATGAATTTCACATATAAGAATAATTGACTATTTCTATTAACATTGCTAACATAAATGAGATTTAATTGCCAACAGGCAGTAGAAAGCTATATTACATTATCTTTAAACTGCCCATTTAATGTCACGGTTTTCCCTGCTTTTAATTTGGAAAAAAAAGTTTATTTGACAAATTTAGATATTTTTTTCAATATCAGAATACAAAAATTGAGCAACCAACATGATAGAGCCCGGTCAGACTGTTAGGATATGGCAGGCTAGCCTGACTCTATACTGGTGACAAAAGCTAGTCACATTTGGTTACAGTATGTTAAGCTTTTGATCCAGATTTGCTTTTATGGTTATGTCTGACAACCTTCTATATTGTGTGAGATGGCTGTACTGCTGATTGATTATAATGTTTTTGCAGGAAACTTTGTGTTTTTACTTTCTTTACTATTTTAATGTCTGACACTAGCAATCTGCAAATCTCTTTAATAATATTGTCTGTCTGTAGATCATTTGAAATAAAAAAAAATTATTGTATTTTACTCAAAAGTTTTTATAGCATATTGCAAAATGGTATTAGATTTAAAAAGAGATACATGCATATACAGTTACATGTTTTTTTCTCTCACAGATTCAATATAAAGTATGTCTTATAGTTACATAATTATATGCTTTTCTGATACAAACTTGGAATTATACTTTATCACAAAAATTTACGTTGTTTACTGTAATGTTGACATGTATTTTTTATAATATTTACAGCAAAGTCAACAGAAGAGAAGAACACACTGATACAGCCAGTGAGGACAATAACTGTTGGAGGTCAAAGTTAGTACTTTTAAGTTCTGTATTTGCTAGACTTCTTGGAGAATTATGGGACTTTCCTATTTCTCTAGTGCAATAGTGCATTGACATAACACTTGGTTTTGCATGCAACATATTTCATTTTTGCCTTAAACAAAAAAAGAGGATAGTGGTTCTGTGTCCTATAGTTAAATGGCTACATTTAAGAACTACTTTACTTTTGTATAACAGCCTAAAATTTGTATACAATTTGTTAAAGTTGTCATCCAATGGAAGGAGTAAAAGTCCTAAAAATGAAGAACAAATTTTTTTTTTTTCACATGTTTGTTAAAAAAACACCAACAAAACAGAATGTATAATGGAATCACCCTTGATAGATGTGTGGTGTCCAGGTAGTGTCCAGTTTTGTCCAAAGCATATTTTCTACATGCATGGAAGTATGTATTTAAGTATTGAAAATGTTCAACACCATGAGATATTGTGTTGTGTGCATGAACCAGGTCTCTTGGTCAAAATCACACTAAAGGTCAAACGACTTACGACTTTTACATGGAATGAAAGATTTTACTTTTACTAGGCTCAAATGTTAACCAATGTGAGGCAGTTTGTGGCACCTAAAATTCTGGTGGTCAGGTTCAGGTCCAGACTTAAGAAGTTAAAGGTCAGATATATGTATGAAAATATGAGTATGGACAATTTGATAGTCTTGAATTGTCAGACTATATATTAAAATGGTCAAAATCATGAGACTGTTGCATGCCAGCATTAATTTAGGTCAATGTAGCAAAATCAAATCAACAGAGATGATGAAATATATACATGCACGAATGGATTTTAATACTGTTTGACACAATGTCAGATAAAAATAAATGAAAATGTATGTATGGCTGATTGTGTAGTTTTTAATTGAGCATTATATCTCAAAGTTCACAAACATGACACTGAGTATTGTCAGCATAATTCAGGTCAATGTGTGTAAGGTCAAGGTCACTACCATAGAAGACTAACTTTCAAGAATTTGTCAGCACTATATTATCTACAAGCATGGAGAGATCTTAAAGTATTAATATTTGTAACAAATTTTTTTTAACTGACAATTGGTAGATCTGAATTCAATGTACATTAGAGATAATCAGAAACTCAGAGTTAAGAATAAAGATTATACTGAGATAATCAGAAACTCAGAGTTAAGAATAAAGATTATACTGCCACTACATGTATATTTATTTCATGCTTTCCAGTGTTTTACTGTAATATATCAGATAATTATATTCTGATAAAACCACTAGTGAAATTTATAAAATGTAATTATCACTGTAGCCGGACTATATCTGAATGCGGATGAAAAGAAAATCATAACTGAATGGAATAACAGGGAAAAAAAAGATGCAGTCATATGTAAATTTTGCTTCTTTAGGAAAGGAAGTCAATGCCATCATACATCATGTTAAAAGTGTAACAAAATTAGAGATTAACAAAACTATATTTTAAAATTGATAATGTGATGACGTCATAAAGGAGAATACCTGACGTTATGCGGCAAAATCAGTAAAAATACTTAATATCACTTAGAAAGCATGAAATTAAAAGAAAGTTTATTTGTTTTACATATAAGATTGAAATATATTTCATTCGTGAACACCAGCTATTATATTTTCACTCGTGGCTACGCCACTCATGAAAATATTGCATCTGGTGTTCACTCAGTGAAATATATTTCAATCTTACATGCAAAACAAACAAATATCCTCTATATAATAACCTGCCTACTTGTTATTTTTTCAGAGAAACTTCACTCCTTCATTGTCTCCTGCAAGAAATATGGAGAACAGGTATGACTGAATTTTGTTTAAATAAATTATTAATTTCATAAAAATTTGCATAAATAATTGTTATTAATACAGATAATTGTCATTTCACATGCAATAATTCCATATGAATGAATCTTGCTTAGGTTTTTCATTATTAACAGATTCGCGATCCATATCATCGCTTGAAATGCTGTTAAAATCAGAGGTATTTTAAGCTTGTATATTAAGATATGCCCCTTGAACCTTGACCAAATCAGTTATTTTTGTTGGCACATCGGTTGGCTCAGATAAAAATGAAATCCTTGTCTTGCTGCTGTAAAATTAGGGAGCAGTCAGTATACTGTTTTTATCTCATGCAAAGAATTATTACAAATTTTGTATGGCATTTAATTGATATGATTGTTTTCATTAGTTTTTTAAGTGTATAAATAAAATTAAATGACTAATTAATTATTAATTAATGACTTTGGATTTTTAGATTTCTTTAGTTTTTGCTGTTATATTATTTATTATTTCATATAATTTAGTTTATTTATTGTCTGATTTACAGATGTTGACACTTGAAGTGGGTAATGAGGTAACAGCCAAGAATCAGAATCCTGCTGTAGAGAAAGCCTCTGTCAGGTACATCAAAACTTATAAAATATTTATTACCAAGTTAAAGTTAAACAATGACCTGACTTTACACTACATGCTTTACATAATGCTGTTTAATCGGCAGCTGTTAAATCTTGAAAAGGTTAGTATTGGTACAGTAATTTTAGTACTTTATTTGCGTAACAAAGTTTTATTATTGTGTTTTTACTCATTGTTTTATTGTTGTTTTTTTTCTACCAACAGTTTCATATGTGCAGAACCTGTAGAGATCCACTTGAGACCATTGATAGATTATCCCAGTGATTTACCACCTTGTCCTGTATCCAGGGAGCCACATCAACAGGTGAGTCCATCTAAACTGAAACATTTCTGTCTACTATTTTATGGGTTTAACATGGTAAAATGGTAACAATAACTGACATAGAATTGTTAACACCTCACATACGATTCTGTCAAGTGAGGAAGTTACCCAGCTAACATAAGGAATGTCAGTGAATTTAAAGTAGGTGCTAAGTGCTTACTTGTGGCTTATCAATGCATGAAAAAGCATCTTGTGTCATTCTGGAAATTAAGTGCTGGAAAGACACTTTGTTGTAGTTTTGGTAAGTTATAACCAGTGAAATACACCAAAATTTGGATAAATGTTTAAAGATCCTGTATGTTGTAATTAAGGATGTTACCACACTTAAGTGAAATTTTATATATGTATATAATTATGCTTCTAAAACAATTTTCAAACATCAGAGAATATGTAAAATATTTGTCCACATTCTACAGAATCATTAAATTATATGCATTCATTTCTTATTGAAAAATTTGACTTAGACTTTAAAAAAAATAATTTTCAAATTACCTCCCTTTATGATCTTGAAATGTAAATTCGGTAATATTCCTACAAATAACGCTTTTTGGAATTATAATATTGATAAATCTTAATGTGAGCATTATATTTATGATATAAAACCATAAAATAATTGAGTTACAGGATCTTTAAAGTTGCTTGCTATAATAGGGGTATTGTACTAGTATGCCCATTCAATGTTGAATCCTCTGAGGACTTCCATTAAAGATATTTCATAAATCTGGGAAAATGAAGTACAAAACTAAAGAACCATCATGTGGTTGTATGTTCACAATGTTGAAATACATTATAATTGAAATATATGAGTAAAATGATGACTCAACAAAACTTTCAACACAATTGCAGTGCCAATTAATTTATTTGAAAACATTTTAATCAGCATAATTTCCATAGCATTTTACAATTGCCACAAAAGATAACCAGAAAATGTTGTAAATCGTGAGCTTCTAATATCAGTACCCCAGCTTTCAACAACTCTCACCCAAACTTTCTCGCCAGCGTTACAGCGAGTAATAACCGAGTTGAAACCTTGGTCGAACCTTGAAGTAGTTGTATCAGTAGCTGCGTACATTCGCACAAGTGTGAGACTCTCTTTCACAATCTCTGTCTGGATATATTTATATCGCTGAGCCATTAACGCTGATTGGAACACATAAACTCCACTGATTGGACACGTAAATTTAAATGTAGATGTATCATAAGCATTGCCCTCATTTACAATAATTTCATCAAAAGGAATGGTCTGTTGAGTCTGAAGATGTTCTAGATGATGAGATATATAGGAAGAGAAGGCGATCTGTAGGTTGTTGTTAATGTTTCTTGAAATGCGGGTATCTATAGAATCTAGAAATATATAATAATATATACAATTATATAGATCATATGATGTGTACCAGCATACTAGCCATTGAATGGGAAAATCCGGAAATCAGTCTTATGTTCCTTTGTTATGGAGATATATGGTTATCAAATACAGATTAACATTTACTTGAAAGCTGCATATAGAAACTCAGCTTCAAGATACCCAAGATGTGTTTTCCCCTTAACCTTTCTGTCAGCATTGGCTATTTTTTTCATTTCTCAAGTCTTTTTTGTTGACAGTTTGATTGTTATTTCATTTCTTTATTTTATTTGACAAATTATTAATGTTCTCATTAGTCCAAGTCTTTGCCACTAATTTCATGTATTTTGAATGTTAAATCATTGTTTAATATCATTATTCACAGTTTTGAAGTAAGATTTAAACTGATAAGCATTCCCATTATGAGTCAATCTTAAAGCTGTATATCTGTAGATGTGTGACCAAGTAAAATAAACACAAGTGAAGAAATATTTATTCAAAACAGGACCATACAATTTACTATGTTTCTACATGTTTACTAATGGCTAGTTTTGCTGATTTTGAGTCTTAACAGTCAGTAATATTTTTATGAATTTTAAGTGTCACTTGCTTAAACCCTAAGTTTGGGTGGAGTTATGGGATGATTGCAGTTGAATGTTTTTTAACTTCATCAAAAAGCAATGACATGCCAAATTTACATATTTATTGCTGACAAGAAAGAAAAGCTTGTGAATCTGTAAACTATATACAATGTGATATACCAAGCTCACTACATAATATAACAATGTTAACAATGGGGTGGGGGGAGTGGGGTGGTGGTGAGGGGGAGGCAATTTTTTACCATCACTGAGTGAATGGGTAAATCTTTCTCAATTTTCTGCAGAATTGTTATTGACAAATTTCGTTAAAAAAAAACATGCTGATTAGAGTTCACATATATGTAATATGTTACCAAACAAAATACATTTGTAATGTTTTAATGTATATCCAAAGTTTGATGTGACTTAAATGATTATGTGAAGTTATTACCAGTAATAAGCATATAAATACTAGAATGACTAGCATTAATTTAGTAGATGAGCCTAAATCTGTCTTATATATTACATACATGTAATTAATAGATACATTTTGTTAAATACATTACGAAAGTATTGTAGTATTATTGAGTAAAGAAGACAAAAATGGCCCAACTGAACTATTATGTTAGTATGTCAGTGCTTTGTAAGGTCAGGATCTAGATTATGTTATCTATTTATCCTAGACAGATAATAGACTTAACATATAGGTCATATATCATTGTAAGTTCTGATGTACTCAATATCTCTACTGGTATAAGTTATATTATTAATTCAAGATGTTGATAATAATTATAAGATGTTTTACAAGTTATATGGCCCAATTAAAATGATTGAAAGCTTATATAACCAAGCTATTAGGTGAAGGTTATATAGATACATGGTCATTGTAAACCTTTCAAAAAATCTTTATAACAAATATATAATACATTTAAATTACTTTATTTGTGATAAGATTAAATTATTATGACAGGTTATATGGCTGTGTACAAACCGTTATTTGCAATAAAACACTTGCCTAGCAGCTCTGGTTATATAACCTAAAACTTGTTTTAAACTAAGTCATATAACTTGTCATACATTTTTATAACCAATAATATAAATTTAGGAAGAATTCTTAAGATTGAGGTTCCTGCTTAAATTTTAAAAGAAGTTAAATTGTTAGAAAATTGTGCAAGATGATTTTAATATTGTTAATATGATAAATGAATATTTATATGACATTGGTCTACCTTGTCTCTTGTGTTGGAATGTAGTTAAACTTTTATTTCGGTATGGAGCTGATATTGTTGATTCTACTGGTCCTGTTTGATAACTAGCATCTGTTTGTTCTATTATCAGATTGTTATTAGCATTGTTATATGGTTGCTTGTTTGTTGAGATGAGAGTTTGAATTGTCCGCTCAGCATTGGTCAGTCTTTGTTCTGTTTGATCCAGAAGATCTTCAACATGCTCTAACTTCTTCTTGTAGGATATTTCAGTCTCTTTAGATGCCTGCAGCAGATTTTCAATTTCAGCTACTTTATCTTGATAAAATATTTGTAAATTTTCTGTTTGATGAAGCTTTTCCTCGACTGTAGCCAACTTCTCCCTGTAATATCTCTCACTGGAAACAAACTGATTCTGTAACTGGGATAACTCAGTAAGGACACTCGCTATAAAATCATCATGAGCTTCTGCCTCAGTATTGATACACAGACATAAATCCCAGATTATAACACAAGTTATAAAAATAAATCTTAATGTTAAATGCATGTTTTATGTTCAGAGCATTGTCTCAAGTGCCTAGTTCTTATCTGTGATTACAGGTCACAGTGTAAAGTTACATAGGTGCATTTTGAAAGTGCAATGGTTCTATATAAGTATTTTGTTTGTCATGACATCAAGATTGTCTCTTGGGAATGGGATGATTTAATTTAATGTTGTTGTTTTTTTTAATTTCTATGTAAGATTTTCAATCTTTCTTTAATTTTGTATTTTGCATTAAATATAAAAGTCACCGAAACAAAAACAAAAAAAAAAAAAGACAATAATTGTGCTGCATTTTTTAAAACATTTTTATATGAATTCCTGTTGTGTGCACAGCACATGTCTCTTCTATGAAAAGTACTTAGCAGAATAAATGCATTGATGATGTACTGAGTAGGCTAGAGCTAGTATCAGAAATAAATGACTGAATTACTGTAAAAAAATGCTATGTACAATGAAATAAAACAAACTTGTAAGTTCATTGGAAAATTCCATTAATACTTTTATAATAGTACAAAATTGATGTTTCTTAGCCACTTATGCCAAAAATAAAGATTTGTAAGTCTATCGTTTGTTTTGTGGTTTTAATTTGATTGAGTATAAACAGTGAGGTTTTTATCAAATTTTAGTATTATTAAAATGTTTGTTTTCCAAACATTCTTTGTCTCCTTTCAGATCCCTGTACATTGTCAGAGAGATTTGGATCTAGGAGTTGTTGTTACTGACAAAAATGGAAGAAAATTTGACAATATTTCATCACTTGAATTTGATTGGTCAATGTCTGATGGTTCTCTCGCCTCATTGGCTGATGAACTGCAGACTGACGTAACACTGACACCTAGTGGTAGAAAAGTCATAGAGAGTAAGTTAGATAATTTCCTCAATTACCTTCAATTTCATGCCCTAAATTATTGACATTGAATCATAAAAATGACAGTTGAATTCTTTTATATGCAAAGTCCTTGTAAGGTTGGTATTTATCATTGGTACCTGTTTATGACAGGAACATGTTGGAGATAGGCTCCTGGACACTTTTTCAACAGATATTGCAGAAAGTTGTAATATGACTTTAAAATTGCAAAAATTGATAAATAGAGAATATTGAATGAGTGTAGGTTCAATACTGTGTTTATTGAACAAGTGGAATAAAATTATATTATCAAGCCTATGCTGAGCAAAATATTATTTTATTCAACAAGTTTAATAAATTCAGTAATATCCCTACTTGAAAATCATATTCTATTTATCACATACCCAAAATAAAGACAGTTTAAAGTGCAAAAGAATTATTTTTCATAAACCAACTATAGAATAATTCTATCACTTAGCGCGTCTTTACACTATGTTTGTATAAAGCAAATAACGTCATGTCAAAATATATGCAATACCATTATACGAATTTGCAAAATCAGCATGTGATAAAATATTTTGTCCTTTTTTTGCAGATTATATGATGTTACAGCCATCGGGTATACCTGGCAATCTGATTGTGACTGCTACAGTGAGCAAATACAAGTCTTCTCATCTACGACTGGCCCAGTCAAACGTCCCTGTAAGTTACTATATTCATTTACTAATTATCATTCATATGTTAAAGTAATGTATGATGCATGCTCTTTTGTTCTTGTATTTGAGTGTTATGGTCATTCACACGCTACCACATGTTGTAGGTATATACAGGTACAAACTTGAGGTTGTCATTCACTTTAGTATAAAGACATCATATACATATATATCTTTCAGGAATATTTAAGTCCAAAGATAAGTAAGTCAATTGACCTGCGACTGGTAGAAGAAGCTGTTGTTTCCCCTGATAGTTTGTCAGTATTTAATCACCCATCTAACAAGGTGAATATAGATGTGGCAAAGGGATCCGGATATTTCCACATTGTTGAAGGCAGGACAGGTGTTGTTGGGCTAAAATACCTGGAAAAATCCAAACAAATACAGGTACCAATTTCTCTGTCACATTTACTACACAAAACAAGCTTCATTACCACATTTTACCAAGCTAAGTTTAAATATGAACAACTATTTTATTGAACCGTTTGCTTTTAGTTTAAATTCTACAACTGGTGATCATGAAACTAGGGTAACCAGCAAGTTGAGAAGCTATCAACATAGCAGATGGAACGTTGGTGGTTCTGCTGAGGTGCACAGAGGGCCACCTGAGATCTCCATCCATCAGTGAAGCTGGAAAGTCGCCATATGACATTTTAAAGTGTTGGTTTGACTTAAAGGGACTCCACTGAGGTTTAAAAGCCTAAAATCATAACATTTGAATTTCTTATATCAATGAGCTAGGGCACTTTATACAGAATTATATGCAAAGATAGTTAAGAAATATACTTTTAAATAAATTGAAAATCGTATTTTTAGGTTTTTCTTAGCCTGAGCCGAGTGAAAAGCATTTAAACGCTTAAATTATTTTGGGTCATTTTTTACAATTTGAAAAATTATTCTGGAAAAACGAAGTGTGCAAATGATCTGAAATTTTGCACAAAGATTAGTGGTCTAAACCTACATGAAATGGTACATTTATCTGGAAAAAATATTTTCAGTCCCATCATGTCAAAAAAACCTCAGTGGAGTCCCTTTAAAACCCAACAAAACAAACAAACAACTTGCAAGAAGACTTCCTCTGCTGGTGAAGCAGAAAAGTCACCATATAACATATTGATGGTGTCAGTATGTTTTCAAAAGGAACTAACACCAAACCTCAAATTACTTCAAAGCATTTCAAACCCCCTTTTTTTGTTAAAACATTCAAAACTGTTTGATTCAAGTTGAAATCTCACAATTAAATTTTTGAGATGTATTTAAATTGTTAAATATCCTAAGAATGATCGATATTGAACATATTTTGCTATTTTATAAAATGGAATTTAAACTTTAACTAAGAAGCTATATTTTTGTACTTTTAATAACAGTGTTTGAACTTTCAAAAGAAAGAGTTTGTAAAATTAATTAATAGATATGACTGATTGTTTTTTGATAGATTATTCCAACCAAAGATGGTCAGCTGACGGTCAGTGTATATGATCTATGTATATTCAGTAACCAGCCAGTACAGGTGGCTATTACAGTGTCCGGAGTAGGCAGTGTCCAGTTACATGTCATGGATAAGGTGACTATTTTTATTATGTAAATTTTATATCACAATTTAGTCATGTCCAGAGCTTATACTGGTATACCTGTATATAATCCATCCAGATTTTTCCCTCTTTTTGATTTGATATTGATTAGCTGAAATAAATTAATATTATCGAGCCAGACGGGTAATATACACATCAAATATCCCCTTTGCATTTCCCACATTGTAAAAAACATGCGCTGTGACGATGCGGATATGGTTCGATGATGCGCTCCGATGACATCATTTTGTGGTGAAGGGTTAACCGAAAGGGAATCTTATTTCGATGTTTTATTTAAAACAGCAATGATTTATTCTAAGATCATCTTCACTTGGCAGGGTCAGGGTAATAAAAGTATTATTTTGGTTTTGGAGTGATATATGTGGATATATTATCTCCCAAGATAAAATATCACCCGAGCCTGATATAAAATCTTGGCAGGTAATATATCCACATATATCACTCCAAAACAGAAATAACATATAATATAAATTAATAAACATATTTTTTAAAAATCCTCTTGCTGAGGCTAGAATGTAAATGAAGCGAAAAAAATCTTATGTGACCTTTTTTTAAATGAAAACTGCAACCAATTTTTTACCAGGTTTTCAAATAGAAAACTCTGGTTATTTTATTGATAATAATAAACATTTAAGTTTAAAGATTTCTAGTATTTCTTGTGATATGCTTTTTAACTTTACCCTGAAAAAAGGCCACCTCTATTACTTCTCATGATTGTCCTTATTTTTATAGGGTTTATCTGTATTTGAACATTTAAACGTGCAAACGTTACATTTCATAAAGAGTTTTATTACTTTTGTTCATGATTTAAACTTACCTCAAATTACACCTTCATTTAACCCATTCCGTACTGGAGCAGAAATTGACTAACAATTGCTAGTGTATACACAAGTCACCTTGCTCTTCCATGTTGTCTAACTATACCTAAATTTTGTATTTTAATAATGTAATTCCTTGAACTTTAAATAGACTATTTCTCAAAGCTGGGCAAATCAATATCACAAATCCGGCAAGTGAAGGGTTAACTTTAAACATATTTATTTAAGCTCGATTGCGAAACAAGTTTTTGCAACTTAAATTAATCACTTTTGAGGTCCACTTCCTGGAACCAACCAGTTACTGGTGTCATCGCAAGAAACATGGATGTGACCCAAGTAGGGTTCGAAGCCATGACCTCTGGGTTGAGTGTCAGACACCTTAACCACTAGGTCACCACTCCTCTTTGTGAAGTGAAGGGTTGAAATCAAATGTTTAAACGTTTCAGGTTGAAGTAGGTAAAGATATACCTGCAAGAGTTGAGGTTCTTGATGTAACCGGGGAAAAACTTTACTCTAGTTTCTTCCCCTTGATGGGCCTCACATTGGAATCCTCTTCCGAGATCATTACTTTAAAGTAAGTGACAAAATTTTGAATCAACTGTTAATTTACATAATGCATGAAAGATTTCACTTAGTGGAAAAGATGATATAGAAAAAGTTCAGTTGTTTTTTTGCACAAAATATGCTCTAGTTATTTTGTGAATATAATGTTTGATTTTTGAAATTTTCTAGAGAGCTGAATACATGTTTATGCATAAAGAAGAATACTTTTTTGGTCACACTTTAAAAAATGGAAAGATCACTGTGCTGATTGTTATTTTTCTCTCAGAAATATTAGATACTGTACTATCATATTGAGGGTTGACCGCAAAACTGCAATAACTTACGTCGGAAAAGAAGGACTTACAACAGTTTTACGGTCAACCCTTTATATAGTGATAAACATTTTCAAGCCACCACTGTTTAATGTTTATTTCTTACTAAAATATATCCAACTTTAAGATTTATTTCAGTGTACTTATTGTATATTAAATTGAAATTCTTGTAATGTAATTTGGACACAGCAAGAATCAAGCATTACAAACAAAAATCTTTAAAAAGAAATATTAATCAAATTGTTGTGGTTTAGAAGTGTATATCATTGTATGACAAAGTAAGTCAAAGTGAGCATGTTCAAAAAATTAACATTAATTTACTGCATAATTATATAGAGGATATTTGTTTAGTTCAGTGTAAGATCGGAATATATTTCACCGAGTGAGCACCAAAAGGTATATTTCACAAGTGGCGCAGCCACGAGTGAAATATGAACTTTTGGTGTTCACAAGGTGAAATATATTTCGATCTTACACTAAACTAAACAAATTTTCTTTTTATAATATGCAAAGAAACGTTTTAAAAAGACATTAAACCTAATACTGAATGAAAAGCGCGCCAAATAATAATATGTGACGTCATTTACGATGTCACGTCATTAAGTTGGTACCCAGTACTGTGCACGCTGGTATTTCACTGAAAAAACGTAAGGGGCTTAAATTCAAAACAGTGAAATTATCAAAGTTGTAATTTCACTGTTTCAAACAGTGAAATTACCAGTTTTATATCACTGATATATTTCTATAAACCACCGAAAAGCATGTAATAAATTCATGTAATATGGAATTGTTGACAGATTATTGTTTAAAACAAGTTTGCAGAACAGAACAGTCTTTATTTGCAAACGAACTGTTTGCGATATTTTTGTGATTTTAACAGGAATGTATTTCAACAATAAATTTAGCAATTAGGACACTTTTGGTTTTCTTTTATAATTTGACAAAAAATTGTTACTGATAATACTTGATTAATTTCATAATCTTTAAAAGATATTGAATGTTGGAAACTATACTTCAGTAGGTAAAATATGCTTAACTGAGAAGTATAAAAGAAATGGGGAAAAATGACAAAGTGGGTAAATATGCTAAGGTGGGAAAATTAAAGCTGAAAAATAACTTAAATTTGTCCAAATGACGGGCAAAATATGGCAAAGAGGGGTAAAATGTAATTATCAAACTGGAATAATATAGCTAAATGGGGAAATGTGTCATTTGCAAATGATGTTAAGTGCGGGACATATAACAAAGTGGGAAGTCATGGTAGTATTTCACAAACTTATGAGGAGTTTTTTTACCTTAAATGTAGAATAACAATAATTAAGAATTGATACATTTAATTACCATATTCTTTGTCTACAATTTCAATTTTTACAGAACAGTGAACATTTTTAAAAATAAAATATTTAAAACAATAAAAAATAAATATTAATAAATTCTAATAGAATTTGTTAGTCAAAAATGTTTTCATTTGTAATTAATAAGCAATAAAACAGTGCTGTAAATTGGTATTTAAAAGATAAATACATGTAAAAAACTTAAAATACTAAAATAGCACTATATATTTATAACATTCAGTTTTACCAACGAGCAGAAAATTGTCTTTTCCTTTTAATATTTGCTATTTCAGGAACAGGTTTGGTGTTTTTATTCCTGTTTCTTTTGTTTGCAAACCATTTTTTCACTTGTTCATTTGTGATCTCCCCAGCCTTAGCCAGGGCCTCTACTGCCGTAGGTCCAGGGTACGGATGCTCGTAGTTACGCGAGTACCACTCCTCCATCATCTTTACAGCTTTCCTTGAGAGAAGTGGGCGGGACTTAAATGGTCTATTTATAGTAACAATTTCACGTCTGGCTCTCAATAGCAGACTTAAACTTCTCTCCACTCTTTCCATGATCATGTGTAGTTGGTTGTCATAGTAACTGTTTAAATGATTTCGATAAGATTTAGGCACGTTGTCATCATGGATTTCTTTCAGTCGTTCTGTTTCGACTTCCGCAGATTGTTGTCGGTAAAAGGAAGAGAGTTCTCTGACCTCGTCGGGATACTTCCCTTGCAGGGAGCTGAACTTTGATTGCAGATTTCTCTCTCTGGCATACACGTCCTGGGAAGGTTTGATTGACAGTGTCTCAAAAAGTGTTTTAGGGCAGTCTGTTGAGTTGCAGTCTGATATCAATAGAGATTGTAGATCACTGAAGAAAGGATTTGTTGACAGTGGGCTGTTTTCTGGTGATTCAAGTAATGAGCTTAAAGATGTGTTAAAACTGCTATCACTCAATGGACTGAGACTTTCCCTATTGCATGCCTCAGAAAATGATCTTGTACGGCCAAAGTTTGGTGTTTTATGCATGTTTCTATTATGTAAGTTCAATTTTCCACTTTGCCTTGAAAGTTTTGGTTTTATATTACCAGAAAATGACCTTGCTCTAGCTATTCCATTCGTTTTATGAAAAGACCCATGTTGATCATTAAACAAGCTGAGAAAGTCCTGGTTCCCTTCATTGTAATCTCTAGATGTGATTGGAAACGGGCAGGAACTGGAGTCATTTAGACTGACTCTCTGTTTTTTGGCAGTTGGTTCAAGGTATTTAAAATTGTTGTCTGCTTCAATCTGGAAGCATGGTTCTTCCACATCAGGTTCAACAAAATGCATGGAATCTTCCAAATCAGAGTCATATGAGATGTTTGCCATTTGTGGTTTTTCTGTAAACAAAAATAAGATATTTGAAAGTCATAAGCTTTAATAATACTAAATACACATTGAAAATACTTTAATAAAAAGATTTTGAAATTACCAGTTGTTTTATGACCAAATCACAAAGAACACTAGTAGCTTAGGTAGGTTTTTAGGTTTACAATTCGGCATCCCTTTAATCAAAGTACATTTGTATATCTAGTCCTGATGAAGGCCAAGTGTTGACATAAATAAATAAAATATTTTAAAAACCTGTCCTTGTGTTGACATATGTATCTCTTATACCTCATTTATACTAAATACATCATATCAACCTATTTTGAACCACTCAAGTTTGTTTCTTGTAAATACCAGTACAATTGTCATTATATGAAACATTGTGTCTCTTGTATGGTTCAAACCCAAGTGCATGTCATTGGTAGACATAATGATACAGTGACAGAAAAGAAAACAATAATATACCTTTCTCTGTTGAAGATATATCTACATTTTGAGGTGTATCAATTGAAGGACAAGTTGAACTTTCCTGTAGCTCAGGATTACATTCATCAGGTCCAAACAGGGAGGAGAAAAAGTCCATACTTGTATCGAAGCCAATATTTGTTGTAAACTCAATCTCGGTACTTCTTGTATCCAGACCATTTATTTGATTAGTACTGAAAGAAATGTCCTTCAAGGTGTCATTCTGGTGGAGACTATTTTCTTGTGCGTTGAATCTGCTGTCAAAAACATCACAAGCATTATTTGAATTTTCTGTTTTCAAATTTGAAGATAATTGGCAATTATCAAAGTTATAGTCAAGGTTTTCACTAAACAACACGTCACCAGACCTTGCCTCATCTCCAATTGTTGCTGCTATTATATCAGATAATGAAACCCGCCTCTTCATTGATGAAGGTAGTTTAAGTCCATCTTTCAATTTACTGTAGCTTTTAATGTCTTCTGAATTTTCAAAATGTGATCCAAAATTTAGATCTGCCATTTTTTTTTCACTGTGTGTACAGAACCACTTTATTAGCTTATCAGAAGAGTTATACAGTGATGACTTGCTGACAATCTAAACTCTGGCTGTTTGAGATTAATACAGGGTATATTTACAGTTATAATTTCTACCTGTCTATATTATACATGTATAACACAATTAGATATCTTTGTCATGAAATTCTTGAGCAGTATACCATTCAATCAGGTTTTTTGACAATGATAATCCTTCAAGGCCAGGGATAAGTAATTATGTGGTTACTTTATTCAAAGGTGCTTGCTTTTTTATACAATGATTGTTAAAGTTACATTGTGTACAATGTACCACAGGTGGCCGTATCGGTGTTTGGACACCCCACCCCTATCTGCTCCTGGACCCCTACTACAATCCTGAAAAAAAAATTGAACACTCTAAGGCTTACTATATGGTTTTATATAATTTTATCGGTGGTTTTGTATTTGGTACCTTATAGTAAGCTGTATTATGTGGATTTTTTTTCAGGGTTGAAGTAGGGGTCCAGGGGAAGATAGGGGTAGGGTGTCCAAACACTGATACTGCCACCTGTGCAATGTACTGGCAAAATTACTGTTTGATTAATAATTTTAGTCGTTTTGCATGAAATATCTCATGTATTTTTTTTCTTAAATAGGACTTTAAGATTATGTCTTGAAAGCTTTTTAATATTGTATTGGAATAAAATAGAGTACATTTTACTGTCAACCAATTTTCCCCTTAATAAGATTCCTTTTCAATAAAATCTAATTAACTTTGCTATTTTTTCTGTATTTAAAAAAAAAAAGAAATCTACCATTCTTAACATATTAAAGGGAATTGGTGTAGTGGGAACATGTATGGAAGGGTTGGTAACCAAAAAACAAAATTTCTCTGGACTTAATAAAAATTATATTTTCCAGTATTACTTAAGATTTTGTCATACTCAAACGGGTCAAGCAGACTCTTGCTTGTCCATATAGTGTTATTGATTAATACAAGTTATTTAAGTAAAATAATTGGGACACATATTTTATATAGACCTGAGTATGTAGGACCCCTTTATCCATACTTTGATGATAGGGAAAATGAAGTAAAGTCATTGTAAAGTGAATCATATGCCATCATATCTGAAGTTGGTATAAATGCTTTAATGGAGTAACAGTCAATTTTCAAAATTTCAGTTTTAAACAAATTATGCACTGTACCTCATAGGGATAATTATAAAGTGTAAATACATACACATACATATATTTTAGTCATATTGTTATCTCCATTGTTAAGCATTTTTTTGGCAAGGTGGTAAATGGTACCCATTCAGTCATTTGCCACTCACTGTTCGGTTTGGATTTTATTTTGTGGCTTAAAGATACTCCACTGAGGTTTTTTGAGAATAATTTTTCAAGATTAATGTTCCATTTGATGTAGGTATAGACCAATAAATTTTGTGCAAAATTTCTTATTAACTGCTCGCTCTATTTTTCCAGAAAAATTATTATTACTGTGAAAAAAGACTAAAATTTGAAAGGCGTTGCAATACTTATCACTCAAATTGGACTAAGTATAGCACAAAAAATATAATTTTCAATTTATTTCTAAATATATTTTTCTAATTATGTTTTGTATATCTTTCTGTTTATAGTGCCAAGCTAATCTATCTAAGAATTAAAATTTTAGTTTTTTGACTTTTGGACCTCTATTGAGTTCCTTTAAAGGAAGCAATACATTATTTTGTCATATTTAAAGATTTACTTTAATCCAGACAACCTGAAGTAATGCAGGGATATAGATCAGTGACTTTCATTCCACTAAATCTCACTAAAACCGGAATAATCTTCTTTCTGAGACAGGTTAACTAGATTCATTATATGCCAGTTTTCTCCTAAAAAATCAATGTATGTCAAGTTTTTCTTCCCCTTCTGCTAAAATTCTGTGTCAAGTTTTTTCTTCTCTTTTTATACCCCCACCACAAAATGTGGGGGGGGCTATAATGGATTCGCTTTGTCGCGTCGGTCGGTCCGTCCGTCTCCATTTTCTTGTCCGCTCTATAAATCCTATACCAATTGAAGGATTTTCTTCAAACTTTGCTCAGATGTTCATCTCAACAAGGGAATGTGCAGAACCAATGTTGCCCATGTGTCAGGTCAAGGTCACAATTGAAGGTCAAATATCAAACAAATGTTAGACAGTATGTCGTGTTCGCTCTGTAAGTCCTACACTTATTTAAAGATTTTCTTCAAACTTGGCTCAAATGTTCACCTCAACAAGGGAATGTGCAGAACCCATGTTGTCCATGTGTCAGCTTAAGGTCAAGGTCACAATTGAAGGTCAAATATCAAACAATGAAATATTACACAGTATGTCGTGTCCGCTCTGTAAGTCCTACACTACTTGAAAGATTTTCTTCAAACTTGGCTCAAATATTCCCCTCAACAAGGGGATGTGCAGAACCCATGTTGCCCATGTGTCAGCTCAAGATCAAGGTCACAATTGAAGGTCAAATATCAAACGATCAAATATTACACAGTATGTTGTGTCCGCTCTGTAAGTCTTACACTATTTGAAAGATTTTCTTTAAACTTGGCTCAAATTTTCTTCTCAACATGGGGATGTGCAGAACCCATGTTGCCCATGTGCCAGCTCAAGGTCAAGGTCATAATTGAAGGTCAAATATCAAACAATCAAATATTACACAGTATGTTGTGTCCGCTCTGTAAGTCCTACACTAATTGAAAGATTTTCTTCAAACTTGGCTCAAATATTCCCTTCAACAAGGGGATGTGCAGAACACATGTTGCCCATGTGTCAGCTCAAGGTCAAGGTCACAATTGAAGGTCAAATATCAAACAATCTAATATTACACATTATGTCATGTCTGCTCTGTAAGTCCAACACTACTTGAAAGATTTTCTTCAATCTTGGCTCAAATGTTCATCTCAACCAGGGGATGTGCAGAACTTATGTCACTCTTTTGCTGGCTTAAGGTCAAGGTCACACTTGAAGGTCAAAACTTGACTTAGAAAAAATTCTTAAATTTTAACATTTATTTGAATATTCTAAATATAGAAAAGGTATTTGCTTGATACTTAAAATATTTTTGAAGGGTCACAAATACGATATGCTGTTCAAGTTTCATAACTCTGTATTGCATTTAAACAAAGTTATGCCCCTTTTTAAGTCTTCAAATTTACATACAATCAAATATTAGACAATATGTTGTGTCCGCTCTATAAATCCTATACCAATGGAAGAATTTCCTTCAAACTTTACTCAAATGTTCACCTCAACAAGGTTATGTGCAGAATCCATGTCACCTTTGTACCGGCTAAAGGTCAAGGTCACACTTGAAGGTCAAAAATTGACTTAGATTATGTTCTTAAATTTTAACATGTACTTGAATAATTCTGAAACTAGCTCAGGCATTTGCTTGAAACTTAAAAGATATATGAGATGTGGCAAATAAGATATGCAGGTCAAGTTTCATTACTCTGTATTGCATTTTGACAAAGTTATCCCCTTTTTAAGTCTTCAAATTTACATACAACCAATACTAGACAATATATTGTGTCTACTCTATAAATTCTATACTGATGGAAGGGTTTTCTTCAAACTTTACTCAAATGTTCACCCAAAATGGGTGATGTGCAAAACCCATCTTACCCTTGTGCCAGATTAAGGTCAAGGCCACACTTGAAGGTCAAAAATTGACTTATAAATAAAATGTTTAATGCATTGGGAAAATGAAAGGTTATTTGTAACTGTTTCGAACAGTTTTGATAATATATATTTATACTATTACCTGTACAATTAGTTTTTTTTTCACAAGAGATAATTTCTTTTTATGTATTTGTGCCCTATAAATTATTCCCTTAACCACCTTTCCAAGTGGTCTTCTGTCAAGGACATTGGTGGGGGTATGAATCGCATTCAGCGATAGTTCTAGTTACAAAATTCTGTGTCATAATTTCCGAGCACCTTCCACTGTCTATGAAAAAACCTGCAGTAATAGATGTAGTACATACATATGGAAGTAATTATACCCCCACAAACGAAGTTTAGGGGGGGTATATAGGAGTCAGCTTGTCGGTCGGTCGGTTGGTCGGTCGGTCCGTCGGTCGGTCCACATCATGGTTTCCGGACGATAACTAGAGTTTGGAATGAGGTATTGTAATCAAACTTGGAATATAGCAACCTTATGTGGAAACTCCGGTTGGTATTGCATTTGGACCCCCTGGGGTCAAGGTCAATGTCACCGTTACTAAAAATAGAAAAATGGTTTCCGGACAATAACTAGAGTTAGGAATGAAATATTGTAATCAAACTTTGCGTATAGCAAGCTTATATGAAGACCTGGGTTGGTATTGCATTTAGGTCCCCTGGGGTCAAGGTCAAGGTCATGGTTACTAAAAATAGAAAAATGGTTTCCAGACAATAACTTGAGTTAGGAATGAGATATTGTAATCAAACTTGGTGTATAGCAAGCTTATATGAAGACCTGGGTTGGTATTGTATTTGGACCCCCTGAGATCAAGGTCAAGGTCACCGTTACTAAAAATAGAAAAATGATTTCTGGACAATAACTAGAGTTAGAAATGAGATATTGTTATCAAACTTGGTGTATAGCAAGCTTATATGAAGACCTGGGTTGGTATTGCATTTGGACCCCCTGGGGTCAAGGTCAAGGTCACCGTTACTAAAAATAGAAAAATGGTTTCCGGACAATAACTTGAGTTAGGAATGAGATATTGTAATCAAACTTGGTGTATAGCAAGCTTATATGAAGACCTGGGTTGGTATTGTTTTTGGACCCCCTGGGTTCAAGGTCAAGGTCATTGTTACTAAAAATAGAAAAATGGTTTCCGGACAATAACTAGAGTTAGGAATGAGATATTGTTATCAAACTTGGTGTATAGCAAGCTTATATGAAGACCTGGGTTGGTATTGCATTTGGACCCCCTGGGGTCAAGGTCAAGGTCACCATTCCTAAAAATAGAAAAATGGTTTCCGGACAATAACTAGAGTTAGGAATGAGATATTGTAATCAAACTTTGTGAAAAGCAAGCTTATTTGGAGACCCCAGTTGGGATTACAATTAATGTACACAGTTGATAGTTTGTGTTGAAATTTTTCTTCAGACTACTTATTTTTCAAAAAGTTGCGGGTGGGGGTATTAATCACCTTCAGTGATAGGTCTAGTTTTTACTAATGTTACATTGTCTCTGGTACATATAACATAAGGTATCATATTTGTAGAAGAGTCAAGTCTGATACAGAAGATGCCTACTCAGCCAGGTACACAGTCCATGGTGCTGTGGTAGGCCACACCTCCTTGAAGGCAGTGACAAACTTACCTGATGGCAGGACTGTCTCGAGCCCAGCCAAACCTGTAGAGGTGTTCCCTCCACTAGAGCTTATACCACGTAATATAACACTGATTATAGGAGGCCTGTTCCAGGTATGTACCTTTGTTCATTAAATTTATTCAAGTAAAACCAATCCAAAGGAAAAGCACAAAATTCTGAAATACATAAGTTTCAATAATGAAAATTTTAGACACAGTTTATTTGAATCATTTCTTTAAATATAGTTAAAAAGAGTGACCATTCTAAAACTGGATACCATACATCTATGAGTTGTGGTGGTACTATTGATGGGGACTTTGTAATGTAAGTTTTACCTTCACATAAACACAAGTATATTCAACTTTGTAAATAACATATTAGACTGTTAAGAATTGATAACCTAACTATTGGTGTAGGTTAAATCTTACATGTTTCCCTATATTTTTATGCCCCCACAGAGTGGGAGCATATAGCGTTGCATTTGTCCGTCCGAGTGTCCGTCCGTACATCCATCCGCACTCACAGGACAGTAATTATGTGGCTAGATGGACAATAGGTAACTGTTCTTTCTCTTTGATGTCATTCATTCCGTAATGCTTTTATGTGGCTATTTTCTTTTGTGTGGCTAAAAAGAACAATAGAGAGAACAATTGAGTAGCCACATTATTACTCTCCTGTTAGTACGTCCGTCCGTCCGTCTGTCCGTACGTCCCGAAATCTTGTGAACGCAACTCCTCTTAAACCGGATGGCAGATTTTGCTTAAACTTCCAGGGATGAACAACCTTAATGTGTAGATGGTAGTAAAGGAAGGAATTTTTGCTGCGACCAAATTTAACAGAATTATGGCCCTTTGTTGATTTTTTCACTATATACTATGTAGAAATTTTGTGAACGCAACTCCTCTTAAACCAGATGGCAGATTTTGCTTAAACTTCCAGGGATGAACAAACTTAATGTGTAGATGGTAGTAAAGGAAGGAATTTTTGCTGCGAATAAATTTAACAGAATTATGGCCCTTTGTTGATTTTTTCACTATATACTATGTAGAAATTTTGTGAACGCAACTCCTCTTAAACCGGATGGCAGATTTTGCTTAAACTTCCAGGGATGAACAACCTTAATGTGTAGATGGTAGTAAAGGAAGGAATTTTTGCTGCAACCAAATTTAACAGAATTATGGCCCTTTGTTGACTTTTAGTTTCCAACTTGTGGCACATGTAGTCCCAAAAAAAAATTTGACCTAGAGTCATAAGATTGACAGAACAGTGGCGTGTGGGGGCATCCGTGTCCTATGGACACATTTCTAGTTTAAGCTATTCTTTTTCAAGATGTGAAATTTTCCTCACAGTTGATTTTTTATTAACATATATGACCCTAAAACTATTATTACTCTTCACTGATAATTACGAGTGGAATTTAAGAGAATTTGATGGAGGAGGAGTAGAAAAATGATGCCTGTACATTGGATTTCGAAGCTACTTGTCCTGCAGGATGAGTGACTCTGAAAATATTTTTCGATGCCTGCTTCTGAATCACATTTTTAGTTACATATAATAGTATGAATAGAATAAAAACATTTTCTGTATCAGGTTCTAAGTAGAGGTGGTCCAAGACCTCAGTGTACTGTGCTGTTCAGCATTAGAAACAGTAAAATAGCCACAGTATCAAGTAGTGGTTTGTTGGATGGTCAATCACTAGGGACAACCAGGGTCATAGGTCAAGCTGTAGGTCAAGATCCGGAGACGGGAGAAACTGTGATCTATTCTCAGGTATGCTGGATTCAATCACCTGTTCAGGTGAAATTAGATTATAATTAGTAAAACTGAAGAACTTTTTGATGTGAGAATTTGAGAATGTTAGTGATTAGTACATGTTGACAGATAAAAAAAATGTGTATAACCAAATCTAGTTTTATATATAACTTTATACAATTAGTGCTAGCAAATTTAAAATTAAGTTTAAGTAGTCTAGATGAAGAAATCTAATGAAGATGTTAATTAAAAAATAATGCATGTTCGGTAATTAAGGTGTCAAAAAAAATCAAAGTTCTCATTATTTTCTAGGTGTTTGGTGGGCAATGGTTATAGTTGATTGTTGAATGACAGGAGAATATAAATATATAAAGCACATGTTAATGTAGACTTTTGTATGTATATATAGGATGAGGTGACAGTTAATGTTGTACGACTTGTTGGGGTGAGAATACATGCTCCATTGACCAGGATACAGACTGGAACTACAGTAAGTTTTTCACAAAATGGGGTGGCTTTTTAAAGTCTATAAATTAAATTTTTCATCATTGGTGATACATGTAGTTTTGACAGATTTCTTGTTTTTGTACTTTCGTGTCTATATCTGTTTATTACATGATCATGATAATAAGCGCAGGAGAAAAGATGCAAAAAAAATCCAGTTAAAACAATGTGTATAATACAGTTTATAAAGGATGCTCAATAAAAAATGATTTTGTCAAGGTTTTGACGTTATTTCATCATACTTTCAGATATAGTATGCTCAGACTGATAAAGTCTAACTTGAATGCTCAACTACCTTTCTTTTCTCCCTTAAAACCCACACCAGAGTATGATTTCTTTTGTGAAGATATGCTTTTTTTTTTCAAGAATACAAATTTTATTAAACATGTAACATGCTTTCGGCCAAAATCTATAATTATTGTTATGTTGTTACTTACATATGTACAAATATTCTAAATAAAATATGTTTAAATCAAGCATATAACAAAATACATTGCTAAATAATATTTGATAAAAAGACAAGTACAGTAAGAAAATGGCAATTTAATGAACCACAAGGTCATCACATATCTTTAAAACTGATTAATGATTTTTGTTCCAGATGCTAGTATTTACATATTTTTAATACTGATAAATGATGTTTGTTTTAGATGCCAGTATATGCTGTAGGTCTAACGGAACATGAGACACCGTTCACATTTGGTAGTTCTTTACCTCTACTCTCATTTACCTGGTCTGTCAACAAAAAAGATGTTGCCCAGCTGCAATCTGTGTTCCATGAGGTAATATATATAGAGAATATTTTTGTATGCTTTACATGTATGATGGAAACATAATATCACCAAGTGAACACCAGATACAATATTTTTATGTCACAGGGTGAGAAAAATGTGCAGTCTGACAGGGACTCAAACTCGGGACCCTCGGAACACCGTACCACGGCTCTACTGACTGAGCTATCTGGCCCTTTACACATCATCTCCCCTATATAGTGAACAGTTCTGAACCGTGACATTTATAATATGTTCTGTTTTCTATGAGTCTCCAGGTAATACATTGCTTGCTTGCCATGAGGTAAAAGAGCTTAAGCAACATATGAAGGAAAAAAAAATAATGAAATATAACATTAAAAGATTTGAGATTTCACCCTGAATTGTTTAAAATTGATGGAATGCTTTCCATTTTTTGGCCCATTTGGTACATTAGAAATTATTTTGGGGGGATGGGGGTACCTTAAAAAAACAAAGTAAGCAAATGATCTGAAATTTTGCAAACAATGCAAAATAAATTGATGTGTAAATCTGAGCCAAGATCTGTGTTTGGTGAGGTAAGAAATTGCTTATCTGTGTTCCATTTAAAATGTAACAAAAGTCCCTGTGTTAAGTAATATTAAACATTTAAGTATATTTATAAGAGCTGTATAAAGAATATAATAATAAATATAGTATATTTTATGTGTTAACACTTTGTAATTCTAGATCATATTTGTGTTTGTATAATACAAAATTTATAGCAAAGGAATTCGATAAAATAATAATTAATTGAATGCACAGTATTTCCTTACCTGTGTCATGAAAAAGTATGCATATTTTCAATACAGATTTTAGCTATTTTTGTTGAGAATAAAATGATACTTAAACTAAACACTTAACAATATAATGTCTGTTTTATTCACAGAATGGTATTCAGCCACAGGCAGAAGGGAATTTTGCTGTGCAAATGGTTGCCATGGAAACAGGTCATGTGTCAGTAAGGTTAGAGGTCAAACCACAAGCTGGTAGTGATCAAATATATCAGGACTCTTTATTGGCCGATGAACTACAAATACAGGTAATATAATCTTGTTGTCATGGAAACGGGATGTTATTGATGTAGATATAATGTGTTACAACATTATAGGTCGGTTGTGCCCTCTATCTTGTTGCATCCGTCAATATATAAAAGAAAACTTGATAGAGTTACTGTTTGGCATGTCTAAGGTTTATCTTGCTGTTTCTATATCTAAATCTATTTTGTTCTGAAACTATATCTAAATCTATGGTGTTCTGAAAGCCATTAAAACACAGAAACAAATATGCTCAAAAATATGTCTTGAGAGATTAAAAAAAAAAGGTATAGAGAGAAAATATAACTCTCTGAACTTGTATCAAATGGAGGGGAAAATCAACATTCTTTGTGCTTGCTTTACTTCTCATTTTCAAAGCTTTGTGTTTTTCATAAAATGGCATTTAGAAACTAAAATAACGCATTCTTGCATGTAGAATTAGTTGCCGCAGAAATGTAGATAACTGTGTCTCTGATTGCTGTGGAAATATGAGATATTATATTTAAACCTGAGCAAAATGTTGTAGTGTAGTTTTGTGACACCATTTTATTTGGACAATATACATGTAAATGTCATGTCCAATTTAAACAGGCATATTCAGTATCAAACTATTTAGTTTAATGCCAGTGTCACATTGCAGGTGTTCGAGGAGCTAGTTATGGTTTTACCAAAAGCTTGTGATGGTGAAATACTTATGACACCAAATACAGAGGCTGTACTTAAAACAAACAGGTATGTAATTATTATAAACCATGATGAAAGTAATAAAAGTTTGTTAACTTGTATAAGGAATATATAAGGGGCACTAGTATAATAATGTAGGTTTTGTTTCTGCCTCTATGTTCAGGAATTGTTGGTTTGAGCTACACTGATTTCACAATCATAATGTTTTCTGAGTAGATTTTAGTCCTGGAAGAACACACATAGATATTTCTTATTGTATTCTTCGAAAAATGACCTGGAATTGAATATTTTATAGCTATAAAATGTTTACAGAAGAAAAGGCGCAGAAGCTAAGTTTATGTATTGAGCTTGCAGAGTAGGACAGCCAGAGTCTTTCTTAATTTCTATAGATATTTAACTTTGTTGAGTATAAGTTACGTTAAACCTACAAGAAATATAGCCATAGTAATGTTTTTAGTCATGGTAGTGTTGTATATTAAGAACACTGTTGATAGGGAATCTGTATAATCTTATGTTTCAGGGACGGAGGAGCTAAAATGAGTTACTCTGTGTTTGGCAGCAATCAAGATGTTGTACAAGTTGTTGATGATGTTCTTATCTCAGGTTCAAACTCAGGTGAAGCGGCTCTACATATCAAAGCACAGGAGGAGTCTGGTGTCATCCAAACCTTAGTTCTTAATGTGAAGGTAAAGGAAAAAAGTTTTTCCTCTTTTATTTATGGAATAAGTCACCAACATTCCTATAAATGCAACTGAGAAGATTTACAAAAACATGCACTGACCTAAAATTAGGCCAGCTTATAGTTTGCATAGCATAAAAAATGATTTTCTTGCTGTTTGTTCTGTTGGGTATTAAGTCACACTGACACAGTATAGGTAATATGGCAACTTTCCAGCTTTACTGGTGGATGGAGACCACAAGTGTCCCTCTGTGCATTTTTTCAGGCAGGAATGGCCACTTGAGTAGAACCACTCACAGCTGTAAGCTAGCTGGTTAGCTTCCTGACATAAAAGAAATGAAGTTCTGCTGTGATTCGAACCCACAACAGTGAGGGACAAGTGGTTTTTCTTGGTGTATGAAAAAATCACAAGATATTATAAAAAGATGTATTTTGACATTTGATAATAAGACTTTAAGTATTATTTGTCAGGTAAAACCAGTGTCCTACATGATGATTAATTCCAACTCTGCATTGAGGACATCTGGAGGTCAACTGAGTGTGGTACCAAGGGGAACAACTCTACAGTTCACAGTTACCTACCATGATGATGTAGGAGAACAGTTTTATGCTACAAACATTGACATGAAGTACAGATGTAGCAGGTATAATACCTCTTGATATCTTTGAAAGCTGTGTTGAAAGACAGAATTGAAGAAAAAAAATCAGTTAAAATGATTTACATATTTGTACAGTACGGAACTTTTGAGCCACACCAATACGAACGATCATGTTGGTAAAATATTTCGTTTACACAATACTGTCCTATAAAATGTCAGTACTTATATAACAGGAGATGCATTATGTAAAACCAGGTTTTTTTGTTTAATGTTTACGATTATACTGTTGGAATTTTTGTTTTATGATTATACTGTTGGAATTTTTGTAAGGCTTGAACTGACACTGTTATTGTTGAAGTTGATAAAAACTTCTTAATAGAATTCCAGTGGTAATCTACAAAAAATAGAAAAAATCAAATTTTCACAGATCATCTTTGAGCATTTATTTTCACAGCTGAATTTGACATTTCAGATATGACCTTGTACAGGTGTCACATGGTTTAGAGAACAACACACTAGTCATGAAGACTGCTGCTGTAGGTCATACTATACTGAAGGTAATATAACTATAGGTGAGACTAAAAATAGGATTGGAGCACCACATTAAATTCTCCATTCCGGTATATACCGGACAAGGCGATTGAATTATTAAATGCTGAAATTTTGACTTTTCACCCAATGGAATGAGCTTTAAAAGGTCTTATTCACCTTTTCACATAAATTGATATTTGTATTTTTGTGTCGCCTCTACGGAGTAGTGGCGGAGTAGTGGCGACATATAGGAATCACTTCTCCGTCGTCCGTCTGTCTGTCCGTCACAAAACTTGTCTGGACTACTCCTCATAAACTACTGGTGCAATTTCATTCAAACTTTACAGGAATGATCAGTACCAAGTCTAGTTGTGCATATTGTCAGCATTTTCCGGTTCAATGATTTTTGTCAGAGTTATGGCCCTTTAATAATTTTTATTTTTAAAGTTTGTCCGGACTACTTCTCTTATACCACTAATGCAATTTCTATGAAACTTTACAGGATTGATCTGTAGCTCAAGTCCTTGCGCATATTGCACAGGTTTTCCGGTTGAATGATTTCTGGCAGAGTTATGGCCCTTTGATAAAAAGGTGTTTTTTTCAGATACACAAAAGCTTGTCCGGACTACTCCCCATAAACTACTGTAGCAATTTTATCCAAACTTTACAGAAATGATCAGTACTAAGTCTAGTTGTGCACTGTCCGTCTGTCTGTCCGTCTGTCACAAAACTTGTCCCAACATAAAATTGGCCATCATGAGGCGACACATGTGATTACTGATCGCTCTTGTTATTGATCATTATTTCTACAAGGGTCTAGAGGTACTGCTCCAGTCCTGTATTGAGTTAAATCCAATAGCTGTAGAGTATACATTTACTTAACTATTTTCATACTGATAATTTTAAATCTGATCTATTGTTTATGTTCTATATCGCAGACTGTCCAGCGTCCCTAAAATTCCTAAAAAAATCCTAATTTTTTTCAGTTTGACTAAAATTACAACTAAAAAAATGACAATTTCAAAGGGAATTCCTAAAAATGCCCTATTTTTTCACTGAAATTCCTATTTTTTTTTATCTTTTGTAATAACATATCCTGAAACAACCATTTTTCAACCATTTCAAAATGTTAACCTAAAATATTACAATGTATTTAACATGTAGATTTCATTTTTTTTCTGAGTAAGGATCCCCAACCCCCAGCCTCATTAAATAACAGAGTTGGGTCTTTCAGACAGGAGCCCCCAGCCCAAAATATCTAGATCCGGCCCTCCAATTTTTATATTAAAACTTAGATATAACATAACTTTGCATATTAACCAGTATGACTTCGGCCTAGTATCTTTATGAAAGATACTTCTTGTTATTGGCTACAGAGTATTACCATTTACCTCAGTCATAAGTGTATTTAAAGATATACTATGCTCAAATTTGATTTTTAGAAATATTAATAATTGCTTAACAGTCTCTTTGTATGTATAAAATAAACATGTTTTGACTTTATTTTAAGTAGATATGTTATGTTTCGAACTCTACACACTACTGGTGGTTATAATATGAATATATAGTGTCATTAAAAAATCTGGCAGTTTTTGTAAGAAAAGACCAACTTTACTTGACCTGTAATAGGGAATGCAGCTTCCCATACATAGTTTATTCATTATTTTATTCAAATTAAACATATTCAGTAAAATTTTCATGGATTTTAATACATTTCTAAGTTAAAAATATTTTACCCAAAGATGAGCATTGTATATCTTTAAAGCAACTATTTATATGATGTACCACTAAATATTCATAAGACTTTATGTAGGGGTCCTTATTAATAAAATCTTTATTTCTAATCAAGTTATTTTCAAGTGATGACTGTAGAATAGATATTTTGTAAGTGATACCAGCTGGCAGATCTAGACAAGTTTCAATGTTTGGTAATATTATAAAGTGGGTAAGGTTAACTGGCTGTAATGATTGGATGCTTTTACCATTTTGCACCCCAATGAGTGTACTAAGAAGTGACACCTTCAGCTGCCCTTTTTGTACACATTAACATTAGTCATACCAATGCAATGCACTTTACATATGTTATAACATTTAGTGTAAGTTTTTTAAAATCTGAAAAAAAAAACTGTTAAAAATCATTGAATAGACAGGCACTGTTGTGAAATTTTCTACAATTTTTAGTAACCCTGATTTATCTTTATCAAATTCTTCAGTGGTGAATATCCTGCTTTTTAGGTTTAAATATTCCTGGGAATGACCTGAGTGGGTCATATTGTTTTTTTATTGTTTTCTAAGAAAGATGAAGACTTGTTGAAAATATACCAACCTTAAAATGACTAAATATTGATGAATGCATTTAAAGCTAAAATAAATTTAAAGCATAATGTCCCTTTCGATTTACTATTTGCTAATAACAGATTAACTAATTGAGTATGGGTTGTTCCCTGATTCTTATAACTTTGAATGTTTTCATTCTAGTTATCTTCAGCTCTTATTCAGAGTAGATAGTTAAAGGCTGTTGACCAGTGAATCCATTTATTCACATGTGACTGGAACACTGATATACACCTTTGCTATAACTGAACTAGAGCATTATTTGTCAAAGTTGAGCCCATATTCTGGTCTTTTGGGGCCATCATTTAGTTATAAAATTTCTTTAACTTGCCCTTAAAATTTCTAATATTAGCCCTAAAATTTCTTAAAAATTGCCCTAAAATTTGCCCTAATTTTTCGTTAGAAGGTGCTGGACAGCCTGATTTCGCCATGTAGGTACACTATTTTGTTTCAAATACTAACAGCACATTGGCATGGGCTGCTTTAACAGAAAAAAAGAAACCTATTTGGATATCAATCAAACTGTCCAAATGAAATCAAACTCTTATGATTTAAGCAATATATTACATGAACTTTAAATTATTTTGATCTTGGGTTACTTTGTAGCATTTTTACAAGGTTAGTCTGCCTGGAAAGACAGACATTTTGTATATATCAGTTTTATGTACACTATTTGTCCTGGTATGTTGTACAGGTACAGTTGCACTTGTCAGATAAATTTACTTTGATATATGACAGCAATGCAACTGCAGATGACAAAACTTCAATGTTTTACTAATGTAAATAATTATTGTGAAATCTGAACAAACCAAGCATTATTTGTAGGTATGGGACAGCAACAAGCCGTGGTTAGTTGACTACATCAGTATACCAGTTGGTCAAGCCATACATCCAACTCACACCAAATTACAACTCGGGGACATTGTATGTTTTACTACCCCACTTACCATGGAGAGAGGTGTCACCGGTGCCTGGAGGGGGGACGGCAGTGTCACTGTTGACAATGGACTGGGTATAGCAAGTACAAGCTCTGTTGGTGAAGGAACATTATCATATATGGTATCTGATGATGTGATGACAGAAACAGAGGTAAGATAAACTTCGTTTTTTTGTTTAACTTCCCTTAACTTTGTTATGGCTTTGTCCTTGTGTTTGCCAATGGTTAAAAAATAATGTGCAGAGTGACATTTGTGATTGTAAGTTTGCCATATGACTGTTAAAGTATTGAGAGGCTTAAATCTAAACCAAGTAATTGAACACGCTTAAACTTTTAACTTTTTGAACTGGTCGATTTCTGTTTGATGTGTGATAAGTCTTCTGTTTTCTAAGTGATATTTATTATAATATAGAGTTGAGAAATTTATAACATTCGGCCACATTAATGTTGTTAGTGTTAAACAACATTAAATACATGTATACTATTATGTTAAAAGATCATTAATCACTCACTGTCATACGTTTAAGGTAAACAGTTTGTTTCTGGGTTTATAAAAATGTTTAAAATACTGAAGGAAGGCTCATCAAACAATGAACTGACATCAATATATTTGAAGATGTATTTGGTTATGTGGTCACTCTAGACTATCATATTTTAGTATAGCCTTGAAATAACAATTTATTATGCTTTACATTATTTGATACCTTTTAGTAAAAACATATTTTCTAACAAATACACATTCTTATTTTTACAGATATATGTAGAACCAATCAGAGAAGTGAAAACAGAATTAGGGTCAGAGTTCATTACCATGGCAACTAACAAGGTCTACAATATGATAATTAATTTTGGAAAGGGATCATTAGTTCAAGGTGAGTGATAAGTTGAAATGTAAACTTTGTTGTTAATGTCGAATTAAATTAAAGAATGATCTTACATGTAGGTCTTCAGAATATAACCGGTTAAGTTTGTTTTTATAACACCTCACATTTTCATTAGGCTTGGACACATGTGGAAAACTTGTTTATTTGTTATCACATAAAATTACAGACAAGTTATTAATCAATGTGGGCATTCTGCCATTATAGTCACTGATCAATCAGCCTGCATACTGTGTTTTGTAAAATCTTCTTTGCTGCAATACACAACTAAAATTAAACAGCCTGCGGTAAAGATATTAATGCCTTATAATTCAGTTACGGTAGTATACATTTTTTTATCAGACCACTGAATAATATATTACAAAAAGGCCTGCTGACACTGATATAGATAAAGAAGGAACTCATTTATGTAAGGTATAATGTAAATAATTGTGTTATCTGTCTAGCCAACAATCCTTGTTTACAGCCATTACTGTAACTGAATATTAGGACATTTATATTTACATGTAGTTATATTCTAAGTTAATAATTAATTCTTATTCATTATATATGATATTAATTTGGACATGTCACCCTCCTTGTCCAGTCTTCATAGACTAATGGTTTATATTTATTTCCACTTTATTATTATAAATTATATACCCAAATTTTCTTTAATCTTACCATTTTGCAGGCTCTGTGTTCACTGTGGTACTGTTACTTTAGTCTTGTTACTTTTATGTTTGGGTTGTGTTCATTGAACGCTGCCTTTCCTTGTTGATCTTGTTTATTATAATTTATTGTTATTCATTGTATATGATATAAATTAGGACAGGTTTTTATCTGCAGGTAGCAACTGTAAAACATTGATATCAGAAAAGAATTATCAGCCAATCAGAATGCCTTTTACATGCAGCCTTGGTGTCAGTCCGGACAATCAGGAGATTGCCATAAATGACTACTTCTCAGTGAAACCAGTATTTATTTCTAAGTCTGGTTAGTGTTATATTTTACAATGTTACTTATTCATTGGAAAATATACATGCATGCTCGCTCAGATTTATTTTTTATATATTTTAGTGTCTGACATGTCTGTCTTAAGGCTTTTGTATTTTAAATAGGTATTGAACTGATCATTTAAAACATGTTTTAGACGTTTTTTTTGTATTATAAAGTAGATATTATTTGTAAAGCATTTCTTCTTCTAAAAAAAAAGAAAAAACATTCAGAAAAATAGGATTCTAATAAATAACATGCTTAGACTAATTGTCTAAAATCATTTTATAAATGGATATATCAAAGTAATAACTGTCAAATGTTGTCATTGTCAGGTAAATATGCTTGTCAGATATCTGCAAATACTCAAACTGTTCCACAACAAATCAGTTCAGCAGATGTCAATGTTGTTGTCATGGTAACAGTGTTTCCACTGAAAGGTCAAGATGAGGTCAAATCTGTTCCCCTGCTGGTTCCCTTCCTCCCACCATTTCATGTGTATAACTCAGAGATTCATATATCTACCCTGACACCACTCTCCAGTGTTAGAATTTCTACTTCCTCGAAGTTAACAGACCAAGTTAAGGTAAATATAACAGATTAATAACAGACCAAGTAAAAATTACTATAGTAGATTCAGTTAGTATGATTTTTTAAAGAAATGTCAAAAATACATGTCTTAAGATTGGATTATGTTTTAAAATATTTTGCTTTTGCCATGATTGTTCACATTTATCTCAACAATTTGTGTTATTTACATGAACATGTACTTACTTGATGGCGAAATAAACATTGTTTACACATAGTCAAAACAAGCTACATCTTTAAGGTTGTATTTGATTGAAACCAATGTTAACTTTATGAACCTTATTATAATTATATTATAAGAGTAAAGAACAGAATGTGGGAGATTGAATACTTTTTTTAAAAAAAAAATCATAAAAATAAAAACAATATTAACTGATGATAAAGAAGACAACGAACATGTTTATATTATCAGGTAGTGGTTAGTGACCCATCAATCCTGGAGGCTTTACCAGCAGAGAGTGATCCTCAGTCTAAATCTATTGCCATCTATCCTGTCAGACTGATTGACACTGTAGCACTCTGGGAAAGAGAACAGCTAGATGTATGGGTTGATCTGATTGGTGAAAAAACAGGTCAAAAGGTCAGGATTCCAGTATTTATCCGGTTGATTGGCCAGAAGCCTGACATTGCAGGTAATTATAGTTTTTGTTCTCTATTTATTGTCAGAACGATGTCAGATTGAGATAATGTACTACAGCAGTAGCCTGATAGTAGAGCCATCACCCAACCTCACCCCTGTAGTTAGGATTCTGAGAAGTGTTTGCTGGTTTGATTTCTAAGTGCGTCATATTGGACACCATTACAAAAAATGTGTTGAAATCAGAAAAAAAGTTAAACAAAACTTAACTGGGTTGTGTTTATTGAACGCTACTCTTCCTTGATGATTTTGTTTTTCATATATTAAGAATTGCTATAGTAGCCTTCTCACTTGTTACTCACCAGTCCAGGTTGGTGAAGTCCTGAGACTTGTTATTTGTTGTGATGTGTTGAGATACGATCTCATGTAAACACTATCTGATGTGATTCAGCTACAAGGTATCCTTTAATATATAATTGAAAGATTCTAGTGTAATGTACTAATTCAACAAGCAGGCTGTTACTCATTATGAAAACACTCATACAAAATTGATGAAATAAAAGCCAAAATTATTTCATTCTGAACTTAAAATGATATGCCTAGAATTTACATACCATTATTATGACGAAACTAGGTTTTTGTCAACATTATTTTATATAACGTGTCTGCAAACTTATGAGATATGTTTGTACATTTTGATTGTTGAATTCTACAGAAAGTTACACTTGATACATGTATAGTTATACTTTATATAATTACAAATGAGCCGTGTCACGACAAAACCAACATAATGGGTTTGCGACCAGTATGGATCCAGACCAGCCTGCACATCAGCGCAGTCTGATCAGGATCCATGCTGTTTGCTATCAGTTTCTCTACTTGTGATAGGGTTTGTAAGCGAACAGCATGGATCCTGATCAGACTACGCTGATGCGCAGGCTGCTCTGGATCCATACTGGTCGCAAACCCATTATCTTCGTTTTGTCATGACGTGGCTCAAATGGTTTTTTACTTACTAAACATTTGTCTTGCAAACCTGTTTTTAACTACATGTATTATCAGTGAAATTCTCAAAGACTTTACTCAAATGATCAAAGCAATAAAGGAATAAATGGATGAATGAATATTGTGTTTGTCTAGGTGGTGCATACAGGAGAGATGTAGGATGGCGGGCGTTGTTTGGTAACATTTTAAATAACTACCAGTACTGGTTTATCCTGGTTATAATCATCATAGTCACTGCACTTACTGTTCTATTTGGTAAGTATTATTTTGTCAAAAAGGTTTATGTACATGTATTATAAGTTTTATTGATTTTTTTCTATGGATGTATTTTTACAGAAGGTGCTGTTTTTTCATGTGAAACAAATCTCTAGCACAATTTCTTTCTTGTAATATTAAATTTTGATATTATATATAAGAAATTAAATGAGGAAAACAAAAGTGTGATATTTTGTAACTGTGTGTTTATAATTATAGTACATTAAGAATTAGTCTTCATCAGGGTTTTGACTGTTTGATAAAACTATGTCGATACAATTTGTAGATTTTAAAATCATCTAGATTTAAGTATTATGATATTTTCTGGTATGTTATTTCAGGTTACCATGCAGTGTATGGTCCTAAATATAAAGCTGCAGTAAACACATCAGGCTATATGGGATCACCACAAGGCTCACCTGTAGGACCAGTGTATACACCAGGTAAATTAGGCAATTATTATGACTAATATTGAAAATATTTTATGATTATCACTTCAGCCAGTTTGAAGTTTTTTATCTTGACTATTAAATTTTGAAGGGAAGTCATTTGTTGGGCTATCCTAATCACCTTGGTGTCATTGTAACATTTTGGGTAAATTTTTATCAGCAACTTCTTGTACAACATCATATGTTGTCAAACTTACCTAGACTCATAATTCTGACTTGAATTTTTACTGAATTATGATCCTTTTTGAACTGCGAAAATTCTTGGATTCCTCAAATCTTACTGAAGGTATTCACATGAAACTTATTATATGCTTTAGTATCATAATTGGAGGTCACTTTTCGAGGTCCATAGCTCGTACTTGCATTTTGATGGCCTTATTGCCCTTTGTGGACTTGGAATAAAGTTAAAGTTCTGCATTCAGCATCAATCTTCAAAGCTATTGGATAGTATTCACTTGAAATTTAATTCATGTAATATAGAAATTATGATTAAGACCACATTCCAAGACCTATAACTTGCATGGATTTTTAAATGAAATATAACCCTTTATGAAATTACAAAATTATGTGATCCATACTCTTGGTTAACTATCACTCACTGAGAATAGTCGAACATGCCATGTCCTACTGACAGGTCTTAATTTATTGGTTTTTGTGTCGCCTTGAAAAGGTGACATATAGGGGTTACTTTTGTCGGCAGCGTCTGTGTCGGCAGCGTCGTTGTCGGCGTCCCCTAAAGCTTGTCCGGAGCATAACTCAGTCACTATAAGTCTGATTGACTTCAAACTTGGTATGCATGCTTCTTTCAATAACCCGAAGTGCAGTGCACAAGGACCGGTACTCTGCAGTTCTTATTTTTTGAGTTATTGCCCTTTGTTAACTTTCATACTTTAATTTTGTCCGGGCCATTTCTCTTCAACTAAAAAAAGCTATGGACTTGAAACTTCATAGGATGATAGATCTCATTAAGAAGAAGTGCAGTGCATAAGAACCGGTACTCTGCACTTCCTAATTTTTGAGTTATTGCCCTTTGTTAATTTTCATACTTTATTTTTGTCCGGGCCATTTTCTCCTAATGTATAAAGCCATGGACTTGAAACTTCATAGGATGATAGGTCTCATTAAGAAGAAGTGCAGTGCATAAGAACAGGTACTCTGCATTTCTTATTTTTTGAGTTATTGCCCTTTGTTTATTTTCATACTTTAATTTTGTCTGGGCCATTTCTCCTTAAGTATAAAAGCTATGGACTTAAAACTTCATAGGATGATAGATCTCATTAAGAAGAAGTGCAGTGCACAAGAATCGGTACTCTGCATTTCTTATTTTTTGAGTTATGGCCCTTTGTTAGTTTTCATTCTTAATTTTTGTCCAGGCCATTTCTCCGAAAGTATAAAAGTTATTGACTTGAAACTTCATAGGATGATAGATCTCATTATGAGAAAGTGCAGTGCATAAGAACTGATACTCTGCATTTCTTATTTTTTGAGTTATTGCCCTTTGTTGATTTTCTTACTTTATTTTTGTCCTGGTCATTTCTCCTCAAGTATGATAGCTATGGACTTGAAACATCATAGAATGATAGATCTTATTGATAAGAAGTGCAGTGCACAGAAACTGCTGCTCTGCACTTATTATTTTTTTAGTTATTGCCCTTTGTTATTTTTCATATTTCATTTTTGTCCTGGCCATTTCTCCTAAACTACATTGTTCACAAGGCGACACATACGACACGCGGAGTTCTAGTTCATTTAGTCCATGAAAATTTAATTTAGCAAAAAATAGCATCAATTATATCACAATATTTGTACACTTAACAATAGTTTTACTTATTTTTAACACTTTGCTGCCAATTTTCATAAAATGTTATAAACTTTAGCATGCTAATGGTGACTGCAACCAATACAGACCAAAATCAGACCAAAACCATCTGATTATGTTTGTTTGTCAGTCAATACAGATTTCAAAATTTATTTAACAAAGATGAATGGAACAAGGTGATATACTGACTTTATAATAAGTTGTCTTCCTCTGAACTCGGGGATCATGAGTTTAAGCCCTACATACATGTTGACAATATTTCCACATACTGCTTAAATACTCATTAATGCAGCAATTAAATAGAATTATTTATAGGACTTGCTTAAAAAGATATATATATATAAAACTTTCTATATATTTCAGCCTCCCCACCTGCATATACTCCCTATTATCAGACACAGACACCGAAATCTCCGATGTTATGGTCAACTGGTTATACTCCACTTGATGGTGGATCTCCAACACGTCGCCGATCTCCTATTCAACGAATCAGTCCATCTTGATAAATTTCATTCATCTAGATTTCTTTTGTTATTTCATGTCTCAGGATTCATTTTGGTCTTCACTCTGTTTAACCTTTAACCTGTTGGCAGCAACAGACTCAACCTAGCAACCAGCTCCTTAGCAACCAGCTAAGACCAAAATCAGCCATAACATTGGTGCTGTCTGATCATGGTCTGCACTGTTTGCTATTCAGTCAATAAATATGTTAATATTCCCTACAAATCATAAATGGTTAAGTTCAGATTGAAAGAAGGACAAATCCATTTATGATATTTAGGCTGATAAGGGTTAAAGTAAATAAGATAGTAGATTGTTTCACGACAATGTGTCAGTTACAGTTATAAAACAAGTATTTACATGAAAATATGATTATTTTGTAGTATCATGTATTATTATTATCATGAATTTTTGAAAGTAAAATGTATTGCTTTGATTTTGTTCCTAGGCCAATCATGTTGAGATATAGCAATACAAGAAATATCTGCCATCAACAAGAATGCAATAATGACTGCAATTATTGAAATATATGATGTTTAATTATAAATGTCTGATTTTTTAGTCAGAATCTCTTGTTTGACTAGAAAAAATTCTGACCTGTCTGTAACTTGACTTATTTAGAAATCACAGGGTAATGAATTAAATGTTTGATTAGCGATATGTATTACATTAATCATCACAGTTGTACATCTGTCTCTGATCAAATAGCAAGAGTTATTTCTAACATTGTCACATTTATTATTATGTATAATTATATTCATTCCATGTGTTCATTATTAATAAGTTAAAAGTATTTTGACCTTTAAAATGTATTTGTATTAACCACTGCCAAACTTAAGAATGTTTATTACTTTTTTATCAATATTAACTAATTAGTTTTTGCAAAATATTATGTAGGAACAATACTAGTAAACAATATTTCGCCTATGTATAACCAGCTTTTTTTCTTGCCATTTTAATTTGGATAATATTGTTTGAAAAAGGAGGCTTAGAGGATATTAAATTATTAGATATGTGAAGAAATCTATGATATTTCTGTTTCTCGTTTTAATAATTCCTTCCACTAAAATCAAAGGTTCCGGGTGAGCTATTTCTAAAGAGTATAATTCATTGCCTTGCAGCATCATTATTGGTCAATTTCTTTGAAATTAAATGTTTGATTTATTTCATTGTGGTATTCTTGTCTGGAGATTACAGTTTCATCTGTTTTGATCTCCCTGATCTCTTTAACTGACCACTTTAATCACATGAGTTGCCACAAAAAATGAAACTGCACTTGGATAGGGGAGGTCAATGCAATGTCTATTCTGTTGATCAGTTTAATTATGAAGCTCTTGGTTTGATTTTATTTAGATTTTTCTAAACACTCGTACAAATTGCTCCTGTTGACTATATGGATCTTTATTCTCTCTTTTTTCATCATTTCAGAACTTAATTTATCATTTCATGCTCAATGTTACAGTATGTATACAGTATAGTATAGCCAACACATTCGTCCTACTCTATGATGCTTTCTGCCTCTGATGAAATTTTAAAGATTTATTTCATCAATTAGAAGCTTTGTGGAATAAGAAAATATTGTATTTGTATGCTTAATGTTTTACTTATTAATCTATTTTTCAGCTTTGTAAACTTTTGTCAGCTGTTTTCATTATTGTTATTTTTCATCAAAATTTGTTATTTGTGCATAAAAATATTCTGCTTTTTTTCAATTCAATTTTGTGTGTGTTTGTGTGTTGTATTTTTTCAATGATATGTGTTGTATTTTTGCAATGATGTAAAGAATTGATGAGTAAAATGTTGAAATCATATTTTATTATACAATTTATAATTAATCAGTTAGATAACATGTCTGGACCTAATACTTTTGTATGCGAATGACAGCTTGTCATCCTTACAGTGATTTATTTATTATTCTAACACAACTCGCATTTTTCCCTATTGAACATAGAAGAACCGAAAGTGTGTGTTATTATGCTATAAAATCACTGTTTGACGTTCTATATTTAGACATGTGACGTAATCATAATACATGTGACGTAACCACTAAAAATGTGACGCGCTGACAATAAGTACGGAAACAAATCAGGCGCAATTTAGCTAAATATCTGGTACGGCAGCATTTATTTGTTGATGTCATGTTAGAATCGAAATAATATATCCAAATCAGTAATTTTATTGCTTGATAACATCACTGTTTGTCGTTCGGATGCGCATCATTATATCACTCGGGCTACACCCTCGTGATATAATTCCTGGCATCCGAACTCCAAACAGTGATGTTATTGAGCAATAAAATCACAGTTTGGGATATATTATTTCTTAATCAATTTTATATCAAAATATCAGTCAAACAATTACCTAGTGAACTAATTTAAATATTGTTTGTCTTTGAAAAAAAAATATATATTTTTCAATTTTCCTTGCAGTTTTTTGGGGTTTGTGTATAAATCATATATGTTGATGTGTTTGTCAAGTTTGTTAGAAATTGAAAAAGAAAATTGGAGAAAGATTATTCTCACATATCCTGATTCATCTATACATATGCTCATCAGAGCTGCATTACTGGTACTGGTACTGCAGTACGTACTGCAGCGATTTTGCAAGTACTGGTACTGATACTGAATTACTCTTACAAAATTTTGCTACTACTGGTACTGGTACTGCATTACTGTCTTAAAAAGTGGTACTGCTACTGCATTACCCAGTACTTTTGGTTTTGATAAAATTAAAAATAACATCAATTTTTCTCATAAAATAAAGCTGTAAATTACATTAACTATATTTTATTTTTGTGAAAAAGTAAGTTATGAAATCTAAAGATAATTTGCTGCAATATTCCTTCAAATGTTAACATAGTATTCATCATAAAAAGCACCAAAGACTTTAAGTAAAAATTAAATTAAGATAAACAGACTCAATTACTCTTTGCCCTAAAATATCCTTATTAAAATATTTTATTACTTTGTATTTACTAGTAAAAGAGCAAAATAAACACTAATTAATTTCTTCTATTCTAAATTATCCCATCTCAAGTGAAAAAAGTGATACTGTTAGCACCATAAAAAGTTGTTATTTACTTTGGTATAAATTGAACAGAGGTGTGAAAGGCAACAAAAGACTGTTGTGTTTTAAATGAAAGAGGTTTGCATTGTATTTATACAGTTGACTGGTTACAAAACAATTAGATATGACATTTCAATTTTCAATTTTATTTACAATAACACTCAGTTTGTATAATGTACAAAAACATGAGCAAATCAAATATGTAAACATATAAAAGAAATAGGTCACTTTGAAAAATAGGTATATAACATAGAGGACAACAATATAGATTTATGTTTGTAAGCTGATATATCCTATTTAAAAAATATAGTTTTTTAGTTTGCGATTATTTAACAAAATAATAATAAATAAGTAATAAATAGATGTTTAGTACCGTTCGATCGAAAAAGAAAAAAAAGTAGTCTAATTGCATAAAACCGTGGGGGAAATGCACTCAATAACTTTTCAAAGGGGCATTTGATTGACAGATGGCCTATCCTAAAAATAGATCACGTGGTTAGGGGAATTTCGTTTCGGTATTCTCTCTGATTGGTTTATTTTTTTATCACCGCCCCAAGTATACATGAGTTTTCGTACTGATTGACAACATCGTGTTTATTTCAGGTGTGAATAAATAAGAAATTTTGAGAACAAAAGAATAAAATAAAGATACGTGACGTTTAAGTGACATTAATTTTTGAATGGAATATTCAATTTAATGTTTGTAATTTCAAGAAGATATTCAAACTTGTTTATTTGTAATGTATTTTGTGCAGTTGTTTTTCATTCGAATAAAAGGTGGATATTATCGTAATTGGTTAGAGGGATGTCTAGGCTGACCTTAAAACTACTTTGTGAGTAGATAACTTTGTTTCACTATTTTCCCTTGCCGTCCATTTTTAGGTTAGGCCAAAGTTCTTGAGAATATAACATATGCATGTATTTTTTAAACGAAGAAGTTAAGTTATTACATGACGATACCGACTCATTTCATCGATCAATGTATTCAATGTTATTGACAGTGTTTTAGTTATAGAATAGTATATATTGCTTACAAACATAAATAATCATACAAATATAACAAAATAGTGAACTATGAAGTTGTTTTATTCGTGCATATTACTGACATAGCAATTGTTTGTTTGACAGTACTCTTAAAGAGAGTAAAAAGCGAAAGCCTTTAAGAGTGCTTACTTATATAATTTTTGTAGGTATTAACATACAGTATAATAATATCTTAAAAACGTGTCCTACGTAGGCTCTGTTTGCGAAACGAAAAAAAAAATAAGCAGCTACATGGAAGACTTTTTAATATTATTATGCATGATGATTTTTAATACATGTTATAGACATATGGTCAAATCTCGATTTTATGATATTTTTTTTTTTTTTTTTTTTCATTTCTTAAGCTGATGTTATAATAATACATGTATTTATTTCGTCATCATCACTAGGGGAAACAACTTCAGAGTTTTTGAAAATTATTCATATGAATATGCACAGTTATCTTTAGCAATGACTAGGTATTTATATACTCTCATAATGATTGGGATAAACATGGGGTCTTAAGAGTCAAAAGAAAAAATACTACAAAGAAAATAATATACAGACCAGACGTCATTGTAACAGACAACCCTATGTACATACAAACAAATTTGCCATGGATTTATTACACAAAGTATTATAAGACTAATGCCTGCATATTTGAAGCACCTACTATACAAATCTATTCAAACCCTTTTATAAAGAAACAATAAATAAAACAAATCATCAATATACAAATAAAACACATATAATAAAACAAAATTAACAATCAATACAAACAAATATAGTCAAATGGGCTCACATACACAAACACACCCACACACTCACACTAACACATGCAAAGTCAGAGTGAGGTATTACACAACATTACTTAAGTATTCAATAAGTAAACATGGCATATGACCTTTTGGTTGTTGACAGTTACAGAATAACTATGATGCCTTATTGGGAATTTGAACAGACTATTATTATAAAGCAAGTAGATAATATTATATATTCAAAATAATGAGATTAATCCAAAATTTATATGAATAAATAATATCCAGACATAACAATCTTTTGTAAATATTTTCAATATCAATGCATGTAAACAATTGGAATAATAATGCAGATATGGTTTTTCTCCCTTTTCCTATTCAGTTTGAACAATAAATTCCAAAAAGTTTTCAACAATAACAATGAAACATACAATGTACATAGAACAACAGAGCATATAACAATAGTATTCTCCTTGCAAATAAACTACAATATTCATTATAGAGGAATTTAATTTTTTTTAAATAACAAAATTCTCGGAATTGATAAATTTGTTTTAACATTAAAAGATTTGAAAATTGAAATTAAGTCTTGAAATTGTCTGTTGCTATTAATATATTTGATAAGATAACCAACTATTTTCTATCCTAAATTGAGTTATTCTTAATTAGCATTGTTAACTTTTTCAAAAACTTACAAAGTTGATAAGTTCATTTTTATTTTCACTATTAAAAAGCTCATAAAATTTTACTGTGTTTGGATTTTATAAAAAAATATGACTTGATGAATTGTTTTTTCTTTGTTCAGAAAGGGCCTTACATTTAAGAACATAGTGGTTATCGTCACCAATATCATTGTCATTGCACAAAATACATTTCCTGTCATTTAAAGGAACACCACTCCACCTTCCTGTTTTCAATAGGTAGTCTATGATTCCTTGTTCTAAAAGATGTTAATAATTTTACAAAAATAATTTGGTATAAGTTGAAAATTTTATTAATTTCGAAATTTCTTTTCATAAGTTTATAATTGATACTGCCTGTAGACCCTTGACACATTATCATTCCATGTTTGTATATGTACTGGTCATGTATTCTTTGTTTAAAATGCTAATGGGAAACCATTTTTCTATTTATGTCAGATTGATTTTCCCAAAATATTCCCAAATCCATGTTTAAAATAAGACTTTTTGTATGATCAAGCCATTTTGAATTTAAAGTCCCTTGATTCGGGCATACCATTGATTATGAGATATAAATCTATTTGACAATTTATTGCTAGTTGGGTCAGCAACTTTACTCCAGAAAGAGATAATTCTTGTATCAATATCTGTTTGTATCGGTTTAATTCCTAATTCGCCATAAATCATATGAGATGGGGTAGATTTTTTAAGATTGAGAATAAGTTTCATAAATTTAAGTTGTGTTCTTTCAATTATTTCATTGTTTCCAAAACCCCAAACCTCACAGCCATTAAAAGTAGTATTGGGTTTTAATAGTTTTTATTAAATATATCTATCTGTAAATCAAATGACAAGTTTTAGAAGCTCTTATTTTTCTTAAGAGAGAAAAACATTGCTTTATTAGCTTGTTCTACTACATGCTTTTTGGCTTTAATGTAACTTTTTGTTCTTGATAGATAGACACCTAAATATTTATATTGATCAGTGGTTTCAAGATTTGCTTCTTTGAATTTAAACTTGTTTTGATAAATGTTACTCCTTGATCCAAATACAACTACATGAATATATGTTGTAAATATTGTTTGTAAAAAGTATGTTAAAACTTTAAAGCAGCATGCCTCCAGATTCATCCTAATTTTCATGAAAATTTTGAAATTATATTTAAAGGTAAAATATTGTCCAAAAAATGAACAAAGAAAGTACTTGACACATTACAATTGGCACTTAAAATCCACGTAAATTACCAAAAAGAGGTCAAAACATGCATAAATAGCCCCCTTACTGCGGGTTATGTATTGCAGTAGAAATATAGTGATAAATACTACAAAATACAGTCATCTAATTGCACATAAGATATAAATTATCACTTGAAATCTTTAATTTGTTTTACTTTTCTCAAAGTTTTTAGTATTTTTTTTCCAAGTTTAATTTTCTTGAAATATTTTGGGTCATCTGGAGGTATGCAGCCTTTAAAGTTTAATAAATTATGATTTTATTTCTTGCTGGAAAAATATTTGCAATTATTTGTTTGACACTGTATTTATTTCAAACTTTGATGAATATATAAAAGTAATGGTTACTGATACTTAATTACTTCACCAAAAAAAGTACTGGTACTGCAGTACCGAGCTAAAATCTAGTACTGGTACTGGTAATGGTACTGCATAATTTGCCAAGTACTGGTACTGGTACTTAAGTACTACACCCTTGGTACTGATGCAGCTCTGATGCTCATAAATCACAGCTTCATTCTGTCAATATCATTCTTATCATTAATATTGTATTAGATCAACATGTTTGTTTGTTTTGTTTCAAACATATGATAATGTCAATATTCATTTTTGCATAATAAAATTTGAAAACAAAGATGCCTCTGGTTGTAAGTTAATAAAATGTGAATAATAGCACATTAAAACAGCCATTTCAACCTGCTTTAAAATGAACCAATTTTTTTTCTTCGTTCTTTTTAAATCACCTGTCACAAAGTGACAGGGTGAGCTTTTGTGATCGCTTTTCGTC